TATATATATATATATTCATCTCATAATATAAAATCCTGATTGACAATGTGTCTAGCTTGAAATATATGTTATATTTGTTTTATGAAAGCAATTATTTTTTTTAAAGCTGTAGCAGACTTTTTATTTAACTTCTCTTAATTAATAGTTAAGTAAGAAAACTTTAGAAGATGGGCAAAAAAGTCCATCTAAGCACAAACAATCAGAAAGCTTCAGGAGTGGGATCACAATGTTCTTTGAGGCCAGTTTATTACTTTAGAGTGTGCATTCATGTTCTAGGGTTTAGTTGATGCCCAAAACATGAGGGCTAACTCTCAAATTATAAGGCTAAGCGGGTGACAGAAAAAAACATAGGAGTCCAAGCCACCCTTGAGCAGATGAAAGTGCCGCTTTAGCGGCCAGGGATTCCAGCTGAGAGGGAGAACGGAATGAATCCTGCAGTATTCATTCCGTTCAAGCTGTATCCTATTCAAGCTGAAAATAAACACGAGGCAGACTGTCATTCCAAGAGGGAGTCTTACTGACTGAGTCGAGGTAAGTCTCCCTCTTGAAAAGACAATCGGCCTTCATCCATTTAATTTCTTAGTCACATTTTCCAACAAAAAACTTAATGCACACGAATTAGCCCAAATGGGAAGGCCTTAGGAGTTTATAGGTCATCTCTTGTCTCATAACACATTCCCCTAGCCAAGGACTCCATTATCCTGTCCTGCACATTGATGCCCACCAACACCTTTTAGGTATATTTGTTGTCAACCTTGGATTAATCCAAACCGTTATTTCTTGAGAGACTTTGTATGGATTATTTTTTTTTGGTAATAAAAAATTCAGATTATAGAGTACCTCTTGGGTCTCTTTGCCCTAGAATCAGTGTTCCAGCTTCAATCGCTATTGCTTTCCTCTCTCTGTCTCTTCTGTTTATTTCTGGAAGTATATTTTGTACTGTGGTTTTGTACTGCTTCAGCGATCTGATGCCAGCTTAATGTTCTTGTCATACACCATCCTTTGAGGTCATTTTACAGAAGGAAAAATTTGCTATTAAGATTTTCCTTAAAAGGTGTGCGGGCAATGGGACAAGGGGTGCTCTGACTTTATTAGCAAAGTATTATAGATTTAGACATATGCATAAATATTCCTATTTTTCGCTTTTATGGTCTCGTATTCTTAAAAATTCATGTAAATGATCTGCAGATAGATACAAAAGATATTCTTTTTATTTGTGGTGGAGCATTTATTGATCTTGAAAAAACCATTTCAGAAAGGTGATGCTTATTCATTTTCCCTCGCAGAGTTCATTTACCAAATGTTTCTTTCCCCTCTTCTTCTTTTGTTTCCCCTTCTCTCCCTCTCTCTATCCACTTTTTTGTGGAAAAATAAATGTGCTATGAAACTGTCTATAATTTTGACCAGACGACAAGATTCTTCTATCGGTTTCGGTGCTCCTGTTCGTGCCAACATGAGAGCTGGTGGTGTGACCGATGCAGTGGTGACATCATCTTTACTTGAATCGGTATGAATCGGGACCTTTTAAAGTGAAAGTCATTGTTCACCATTTTCTTATTTCGTTTATATTTTTTTTCTGGAGCAGAAATATATCTGCTTGATACAAAGTAAATTCTTTTTCACATTATCTTTTAGCGTATGCACAATTAACAGCACCCCCACCCTCCCAAAAAAAGATTAAAGAATGAAAACTGAAAGAAGCAAATTAAGCCAAAGTAGTTCCTTAAAATGGGTCTGAAAGCTGCTATTTTTGTTTTCCAGGTTGAAAGTTCCGATCTCATTGCATATGGACTCATACCAGAGTTTATTGGACGTTTTCCAATATTAGTTAGTTTAACGGCCTTAACTGAGGACCAACTTGTTCAGGTAACACATAAATGCACTTGTATTTGGAATCAGCGTCCTGCTGGTGCTTGGGCTGGTGTTCCTTCTGTTTAGTTATTTTTGGGCAGGCGGAGCTTGAAATTATGAGGATCCCAAATTTTATGCTGTGCAGAAGTACGTCTTTGAATTTCTTCATAGAACTTTTCTTTTACAGGTCCTCACGGAACCAAAAAATGCTCTTGGCAAGCAGTACAAGAAATTATTTACAATGAATAACGTAAGCATTTTGTTTTATATTCTGGGTTCCCTCTCTCTCTCTCTCTCTCTCTCAAGCAACTAGAGTTAAGCTTCTGTATGATGAGACCTTGTACCCATTTCAGGTGAAGCTACATTTTGAGGAGAAGGCACTGAGACTTATTGCAAAGAAGGCGATGGCTAAGAATACCGGTGCCAGGGGTTTAAGAGCACTTTTGGAAAGCATTCTAACTGAAGCCATGTATGAGGTATGCAAGAATCTATTGCTTAGATGGATGAAAGAAACTTCTAACGTGGAAATGTTTTCTTTATTTATTTTATCAAAAGCACGGAAATGTTTTCAAATACATAATATGTTTTGATGTGCTTATGTCTCAGATTCCAGATGTTAAGACAGGAATTGATAGAATAGATGCTGTAGTGGTTGATGAAGAGTCAGTGGGTTCGGTAAATACCCTTGGATGTGGAGGCAAGCTTGTTCGAGGGGATGGTGCATTGGAAAGATACTTGAGTGAAATCAAGTTGAAGCACGCAGTGGTATGATTCCACAAATGATTACTATGCATCTGCCCTTTCTGGTTCTAGGATCCATTACTTATTTCCAATATACCCTCAGGCAATTTGGCTTGTGGGACCCACCTGTGCAGTTTTTGTAGGGAATCATCAATTTTTCTTCTTCTTTCTCACGAAAATTGGATGGTTTCATTGCAAAAACGATGACCATGTATTGAACACTGATTGTTTATTTCAAAAAAGGGGGTGTGGTCTTTTAATGTTCTTCTTAGTGTTTAAAAGAGAATCATAATCAAATTCAATCAACCTATGCAGGAAAATGTAGAGGCGGCTGAAGGGGAAGCAGAGGGTGAATCAGAACAATCGTCCAGAGCTATGAGCATGTAACACTTACACCACCGTAGTTGTTATAATCTGTAAAATTTATGCCCTTCTTATTTGTAAAAATAACATTCATAGCCTGGTGTAATTGCCCCCTTATAAAACAGTGTAGCTTCTGTTCACATTAACAGGAAAAGAAGAAAGAAGGCCAAAGTATAGCATTACTAATTTATTCAAAACATTGTACAATACTCATGTTGCATTGGATTAATGGGTTTCAGTTTATACAGATTAGTAGCCTCAGCAGTCTTCAGGCTTTAGAAACACAAATTATAAAATAAACCTCATATGATCAAATGGACTTTAGAAATACACTCAAAAGTCCATTTACAAAATAACAAAGAGACTTCGAACTTGTTATAAATTACAAAATTACCATCAATTTCTTAAAACAAGTTCAATGCCAAAATCTCATTAAAAAGACTCCAAAATACTTAATATGGTATCAACGTAATTTAATAATTAAAATTAAATTCAATACGGTCAGTTATTATTTTTGAGTTTTTTTTTGGTTTGTACGGTCAAAGTTATTTGCAAGATATCAGGAAGCCAAAGGATAAGTTTCCTGAAAGACAAATGACCAAATAGGAACTACAGAAATGTGATATGTTACATTTGTTGGTATATAATATTTTAATGTGGACATCTAGTTAAATTATTAAAATTGGAATTACTGTAAAAGAGAACACAATGGTTTGATGAAGGGCTGCAGTATTCATATTATTAGACTTTTTTTTATCACAAATGGTTCTTGACGTTTGTAAAATTATCACTTTTCGTCCTTAACGTTTTTTTGTGACATTAATGATCTTTAAGGTTACCCTCTACACATCAAAATGGTTATTGCCGTTAGCTTCCGTCAAATTTTCTGTTAAATTGCTGACGTGGCACATGTGTGGAGCCTAGACATCCAATTGTATAAAGCCACATGGCTTTAAATCAAATAAATATATATTTTAAATATTTTAAAACTTAAATCCATAAAAACAAAAACAAAAATACCTGCACCCTCTGCATTCTCACTCTGCTAGCGTCCTTTCCCCCTTGCAGACCCACCTTTTGCCTCTCTCCCTCCTCTTCCTCTCTTCTCAATCAGGACTTGGAAGAGCTTCAAGAGCTTGCGACTTCTTCTAACACCAACCCATGAATCTTTCCATACAATGTGAAGCAGCAATGCTGGGAAAAGGCCGAGAAGATCAAAGGTCGAGACTCTCTTGGAAGCTCGTCGGTTGCCCAGGTTGCCTCTGTCATGATTATGATCACTTCGTGCCTTACTCTAAGGTAATTCCTCGTTCTCTCTCAAATTCACCATTTTTATGATTTTTTGTGCATTTATGTTTGTTGCCCTTGATTCTTTGATTTGTGCTTGGAGTTTTGTGAAGTTGGTTCATTATGGTTTTGGCTATTAAGGCTCCGTTTAGGATGCATTTGATACATATCTTCCTTTTTGTTTGGTGACTTTCCCATAGAATCAGATTATTTCTGTTGGTAGCATTCTGTATAAAAAGAGATGCAATTTTGCAAGGGGGGAAAGGGCACTGGCAAAGTGAGAATGCAGAGGGTGCAGGTATTTTTGTTTTTGTTTGTATGGATTTAAGTTTTAAAATATTTAAAATATATTTTTATTTATTTAAAGCCACGTGGCTTCATACCATTGGATGTGTGGGCTCCACACACGTCCCACATTAGCAATTTAACAGAAATTTTGACAGAAGCTAACGGCAGGAACCATTTTGATGTGTAGAGAGTAACCTTAAGGACCATTAGTGTCACGAAAAAAGGTTAGGGACGAAAGGTGATAATTTTGCAAACGTCAGAAATCATTTGTGATAAAAAAGCCTATTATTTAATGGTGACCTAATTGAGGTTTGAGGTTGCTCTCAAAGCAAAAAAAATTAAGGTTTGAGGGAGGGAGAGAGATTCACAAATCTTAGGATAAAACTGAAGATAATTAAGAAATTTGGGATCATTATTTATTACCCTTAAAAGAAACATATAAACTGGATTTAAGAAACGGAACAAAGAAATTATCCAAAAATATGGTAATTAACGGACAACCACCAGATAATAAACAAGGCCAGTGTGATGCTAAACCAAAGAGGAAATGAAAACATCTTTTTGGATTTGGACTTGGAAATGAGTTCAAGAGCAGCAGACTGGGTTGGAAGAACTGGAATTGCACCCTTCTGAGTAGTACAGATTGCTCCACAAGCATTTGCAAAAGACAGAGCCTCCTTCAATTTTGTTTCATCCTAGGTAGTTAATTAAAGTTAAGGTTAGGCCAATTACAACCCAGAAATACAAGTTTACAAAAACATGTCTAATTAATTTGGGACTGAACTTACCTCAAATATGGACATATCTTTGGCCATGGAAACCAAAAATGAGCCAACAAAAGCATCACCAGCACCAGTTGTGTCGACAGTTTTAACAGAGAAGCCAGGCACCTTTCCTTTAATTTTCTGTATCACATTTACATGCATCTATTATTAGGAAGCAAATTAAAGAAACAAATCAAAACAAGTACAACCATGTACCCGCAGTATTAAGTACTCATGAGTCATCATTGTGACATATTAGAGTCATCAAATCTGTTAACCGAATAGTTTGTTAATGAAGATATACGTGCCAGCATCTTACAGTTACTAACTAGTACTCATTTTAAACGAAGTGGGCACACTGATTAAGTACATGTAAAAAAGGAGGGGGGGGGGTTGGTGGTGGGGGGGGAAGTGTATATACATGTATAGAGATGTTCAAGTGCAATGTGATCGGTCCTAAGATTTTGAGAGACCTATGCGAAACTTAAATTGGAGCTCTCACATAATCTAATATGAAAATAATAAGAAAGAAAGTTATGTTTTTTTGTTTTGTGTGTGAAGAAATTACCCTTTTTTTTTTTGGTTGGGTGTGATATATAATGCTGTTAGTTTAGTTGGATCGTTCCCTTTTGTTTTTTTTTTCATGTGCTTCTGTTTTTTTTATTTTTTTTTATAACTAATTTAAAATTTGTTGTTATAATGAAAAAAGAATAAAAATACGAATAGAATAATATCAATGAGACCCTTGTACCAAGGGATATGCGCTAAAAACAAGCTCCACCAATACACTTTGTTTCATTATATGCTGCATGATAGAGTATGTATTATGGGTGGCATTTTAGACCGAAAAACCGCATAAACCAACCAAGATATTACCGCATTTGAACCGAACAAGTGGGAAAACATACTGCAATTTGCAGTTTGAGGAACCACACCGCAATTGCGGTTGCGGTGGCAGTTTGGAAAATTCTAAGTTTGCGGTTACCACAAATTGCAAATATTTTTTAATTAATAATAAAATTATGTTTTTAATTAATTGATAGACCGAACAAGTGGGAAAACATACTGCAATTTGCGGTTTGAGGAACCACACCGCAATTGCGGTTGCCGTGGTGGTTTGGAAAATTCCAAATTTGCAGTTACCACAAACTGCAAATATTTTTAATTAATAATAAAAATATGTTTTTAATTAATTGATAGCCGTTAGATGATCATACCTAATCTAATTGATAAATACATAATTATTACATTATTTACCCTTTAAAATTTGTTTTCTAATAATTAATTTGGCTAAGTTGGTGTGTTTTATGTTCTATTTATTTTATTCCAATTTTAGAATGTGTTGGTGTGTTATATGTGTTGGTCTATTATATTTCCAATATTCTCATTGCTTGGGCTTAGAACCATTGGAACCTTTAGAGACCTTTAAATAGGCTATCCATTCAATGGGGGGAGAGAGTTTCTGTGGACGAGAGAGTTTCAGTAGATGGAGACAGATTCGGTGGAGGAGTGAGTTTTTGTGGAGGGAAAATTTCTGTGATAGTAATACCAATAAAAAAGGGTTCCCGCCAAAACGAAAATTTGGTGGACAATGTATAAATTAAAAAAGGTCTCATACAATCTAAGTTTAATCATAACTAGTTTGGTTAGTTTGGTTGGGTTCACTAGCTAAATGTCACTTCCATTGAGTTTCTTTCAACCACTAACAGTGGTGTAAGGAGAGTGTGAGGTTGACATGCTTGAAAAGCAAAACCTGACACCTCTTTTTTTAAAATTGAAATAAAGTACATATGTTGACTACACGCAAGCTTTGGTATGTTGGTCTATAAAGCTATGTTCCATTTCTCAAACGAAATTGCATATGCAATCCTCATCCTCTAAAACAAATAGGATGTACTTCTAGTTTTCTTCTAGGATAATTATCTACTTCTGGTGATTTTATAAATTCTTCTAAATTCCTAATTTCCTTTTGGTATTCTGCTTTCCTTTTCTTTAATTCCTGCAACCTTTCTTTTGTTCTAATAGATGTCCACCAAGGGCCAAACATGCAAAGGGTTTACTGTTCTTAACTGGTAATTCTGGTAATTAACAAAATTTTAACAGGTTATAAAACGTTGGTTTTTATCAGTTGTGTTGACTGACTTTTGTCCCCAAGGTACTTTACTGGTATAACTATATTATTAAGGTGCTAAACTAATGCTCTGATGCCATTATTTTTGAAGCAGGGTCTCAGTCAAGGTTTTCTAAAGGCCAAAATAACAACCAGACACCATGCCTAAAACATGAAACTAGAACATGGAACTGCAAAGACGCTAACTTAAAGGGCTATGGAGCAAAACTTAGAGGTTCGCCAGTTTAGCAAGATAATAACATAATTATGAAAAGTGTTTTCCTGTTTTGGACAAGAAGTCTACTAAGAAAACCAAAAATAAAAGAGAAAAAGATTTACTTAATTGCTTATGTTACTGAAACTATTGTTATCACCGGATATTAATAGTAGTCGAAGATATTAACAGTGGTTGACGGTATTAACAGTTGTCGGAGTAAGAGAATAATAAGAAAATAAGAAAACGTATATAAACAAAGGGAGTTTTATTGATTGAGAACTGAAGGAGAAGTACATATATTTTTTCTTCTCTGGTGTTGTTTTTACTTCTTTCTTCGGAATTACAAACTATATACAAAATTTACACCGACTTCCACCATGGCTAAGGATGAGAAGAAGAGTTCTTCTCTATATGATACTCTATCTGATACACTCTCTATCTCTTTCTGAAATTTCATATGCACCTCATATGCATACACTATACAATCCAACGAATTCACATGACGATTTCAGATTCATATGCACAAGCAAACAAAGTTTTAAAATTATGGACTGCTACACTGTTACTGCTGCTGTTGGCACTGTTACTGCTGCTGCTGAAAAAAGACAAGGACTTCACATATTGCTTTCGTCTTTTGTGGAGTAGAGAGACTTATGGCTTGCATGTCTTTGTTTTTTAAGATAAGGGGCTTTCGTGCCATTTTGAAAATATTTTGGGTATTTTTGAAAGTTGCTTGTTTCCTTTGGGGTTTTCACTAAATTTCGCTATAAAAATCCTTTTGTTTGAGGTCCTGGGCTTGGCCCCGCGCTAGAACTGCTTTGTTCGAGGTCTCGACCCAACTCCTTCGTCTTCTGGGTAAGGGCAAACCTACCCAACCCTGATCTCGTATTTGAAGCTCAAATTATTGGTACGTTGTTCAAATTGCAAATTGCCCATGTTTGAATTTAGCTTATTTTGTTAATATTTTGATATGTATTTTTAAAGGTGCTTGATTTTTCATTCGGACGTTCTGGGTCTTTTTTGGTGTGGGCGTTATATAATCCAATGTTTTCAAAGGCGAGGCGTGTAGGCAAGGCGTTTTTAGTAGCGCTATACGAGGCGTAAGTTTTGAAGCGTTGAGGCGTAAGCCTTTTGAACATTAATTTATTTTAATAAGAAAAATTTATGAATAATACAATACGATTAAATTGTACAACTAATTCTTATTCAACCATAACAATCTTCTAAATATAATCAAATATAAGTACTAATTGTCATTCAAAGCATAATAATCAATCTCAAAATATAAAATATTTATTCAACATCAAAACATAAAATTATACGGAACTTCAAATTACATTTTATTACCGTCAAATTATACAAGTATGATGTATGTACGTAAAAAATAAATTAAAAAAAAAACTTACTTGCAATCAAAAGATGAAGAGAATTCTTGAAATTAATGGAGTTATCTGGTAAGGGTAGAAATTAGAGTTGTACACCTACTATACAATATATATATATATATATATATAGTTCATGTGTTAATATATTAATTTAGAGAAAGACAAAAAAGAAAAGAAAAAAGGGTAAGTAGAAAACCAACAGCCGGTTGGAGAAGAAAAAAAAGAAAGATATTAATTATTGTTTTAAGTTCATCACAATAAAGGTAAGGAAAAAAACTGAAACTTGCGTTTTTTTTGTAAAAACAGATTCCAGGTGAAACGACGTCGTTTCACTTTAATATTGTTTTTAAAACACTGCAATCAAAACGACGTCGTTTCATTACAATAAACCTAAAATAAAAAGAAGGCAAGTAGTGTTCTTCGCGAAGTCATCTTCAACGCAGAAAATTTGCAGAGTCGCAAATTTCTTCCGGTTCAAAAGTTTCCAGATCTGATACGCCTTGCAACGCCTTGCTCAGCCTGACCACGCCTTGCAACGCCTTCTCACGCCTTCCTAGCGCTAATCCACCAAAGGGATGGTCCAGCTGAGAGCTGCTTTGGATGAGATATCTGCTCTTGACCCACCTCCTCCTTCGTCTTCTGTAAGTAAGCGCAAACCAACCCTGAGTTCGTAGCATCTTTGAAGCTCAAATTGTTGGTACGTTGTTCAAATTGCAAGATGCCCATGTGTGAATTTAGCTTATTTTGTTCATATTTTGATATCTGTTTTTAAAGGTGCTTGATTTTGCTTTTGGGCGTTCTGTGGTCCTTTGTTGATTGCTTTATTGTATGCGTTATCCTTGTGTAGCTGTGCTGGTTTAAATTATTTCAATTTGGTTGAAATACGTTTGCTTATGATAATGGTTTTTAAGCAGTATTATTTAGCTTGGTTCATTTGCTTTTTTCCGATTATGGATTTTCGTTTCTTTGTTGATTTTTTTGTTATTGATTGTTCAATTTAATTTTTTTTTTTTTTTTTTTTTTTTTTTTTTTGTATTAAGAGACAAGAGGATAAGAAATCCTCGGTCACAAACACAACACTACCAGCACAGCAAACAAAACTGTGCAGGGAGAGAAAAAGAAAACAAAGCGGAACGAGTGGCCAAAATCACGACCAGAACTGAAAAATATTGGAACAAACTCTAAACTTACAATTGATGAAATGGGAATAGAGAACTATCATGTACGAAATTGATAAAAGCAGAGAAGTATCTGAAAAAGCTCCTTAAGTTCCGGAACCCATAGTCTATAAACCACTGAACACTTACGTGCTTGTGAACTCTGTCTAGGGTCTAGGGTTTGAACGCATAGGTACAAACAAAGTGTAGACTATTGGTGACCAGCCTCATCATGCAAGAAATGGCAGCGGTCACCGAGGCTGCAGCCACTTGAGCTGTAGACGTACTTGCACTGAGTCGTTCTATACCGGGGATGCTTTCTCAACTCCGCCTCCCCATGGGCAAATCTACAACGTTCGCCATAGGGGCAACCCTCCGGGGTTGGCCAATTAATGCACAGCTGTTTCTTATAGTTTCTAATCTCAGGAGGTGCCATGTGCACGTTTGGAGCTTGTGTAGGATCCTGAGAGTTAACAAATTAAAATAAAAATGGCTGAGTCTGCAATTCTTTACAGTTTTTTAGGAAGAAGAGGGAGAATTCTTTGCAGCAAAAAGTCAAGAACAGAGAATTCACTCTAGACATTATGCAACCACACAAATCATGTTAAGCACAAACCTAGATTTTACAGGGGAATTAAGCTTACCATAGGCCTTGGCCCCAAATCCATATGTGGCTGCAGCATCTGCCCCCCTTGGTGCATGGGAATTTGTTGGTTCACTGCATCCTGTTACACAGAACTAAAACATTTAAATTCTGACATTGTTGACTAAGTCTGAAATGATTGGAAATTGAGTCATTGAAATTGATTCGTGGCTTGGAAAGAAAGTTACTGAACTCTTACCGAAATTGTGAAACAAAATTCATAACATGCACATATAATTTGAACTTAAGTGCAAGTATCAGTTTATCATAATGAGTGAAATGTGATATGACATGTGCCCAAAAACAAATGGGTGATCATTACAACTATGAGGATGCTAATGAATGTGTACTGAGAACAGAAAATATTCAAATTAATAGGGGAAAAAAACTAAATGAAACATGATAGAGAAGAAAGAAAATAGCTCATTGAGACAAATAACGGACAGAAATCCGATGAATTTTGCCGCTAAAGGATTGACTATTAGCATGCTATTGCATAATATGAACTTGGAAATGGTGGAGAGCAGGGCTAGTGACCTATCCCATCTCCTCAACTATTCCACTGTTCTTTGTTTGCTTCATGTGCTTCCTTGAAAAATGAAATATGCATCTTCTTCTTTTTTGACAAAACAAAGATTCTTTTTTTTTTTTTTTTTTTTTGTTGAAAGAAACAAAGTCAAAACAATGAAATCCTAACCACCTTTCTGAGAGCTTTGAAATCAGTGCCACTAATGGGACTTTACTAAAATATCTAAAGATTCAGCTGACCATGAACATATAACCAGGTGTCTCACAAGAGATGCATCCAGTCAACAAGTATCAAACCGTTACCAAATTGATGTTCCAAGTCCTACTGCCTTACAGGCGAAATAATTAAACCATAAACTTTGTTAATTACATTCCATAAGATACTGAAATGTTAGGTTGAAGGAAGTGTCTTGTTCAACATAAATCATTCAAATTCTTAGCAACATATCTCCATCCACTAATAAGGCGCCAAAGATAGAAGATAAGTACCTCACACAGAACTAAAACATTTAAATTCTGACATTGTTGACTAAGTCTGAAATTATTGGAAATTGAGTCATTGAAATTGATTCGTGGCTAGGAAAGAAGGAAAGAAAGTTATTGAACTATTGGTGGTGGAATTTGCAGATGTCGGAAATGACTCCCCCAATTCCTTTCCAGATGTTGGAAATCACTCCACCAAGCCCTTTCCAGAAGTCGGAAATGACTCCCCCAAGTCCTTATCGTTTGATTCAGTTCTTGGTAAATCTTTTCAGCGGTGTCTTCCATTAGAGCACAGTGCTTCTCTTCTCGAGCTTTACCAAGAACTAATGGAAGACACCGCTGAAAAGATTTACCAAGAACTGAATCAAACGATAAGGACTTGGGGGAGTCATTTCCGACTTCTGGAAAGGGCTTGGTGGAGTGATTTCCAACATCTGGAAAGGAATTGGGGGAGTCATTTCCGACATCTGCAAATTCCACCACCAATAGTTCAATAACTTTCTTTCCTTCTTTCCTAGCCACGAATCAATTTCAATGACTCAATTTCCAATAATTTCAGACTTAGTCAACAATGTCAGAATTTAAATGTTTTAGTTCTGTGTGAGGTACTTATCTTCTATCTTTGGCGCCTTATTAGTGGATGGAGATATGTTGCTAAGAATTTGAATGATTTATGTTGAACAAGACACTTCCTTCAACCTAACATTTCAGTATCTTATGGAATGTAATTAACAAAGTTTATGGTTTAATTATTTCGCCTGTAAGGCAGTAGGACTTGGAACATCAATTTGGTAACGGTTTGATACTTGTTGACTGGATGCATCTCTTGTGAGACACCTGGTTATATGTTCATGGTCAGCTGAATCTTTAGATATTTTAGTAAAGTCCCATTAGTGGCACTGATTTCAAAGCTCTCAGAAAGGTGGTTAGGATTTCATTGTTTTGACTTTGTTTCTTTCAACAAAAAAAAAAAAAGGATTTCTTTGTTTTGACAAAAAAGAAGAAGATGCATATTTCATTTTTCAAGGAAGCACATGAAGCAAACAAAGAACAGTGGAATAGTTGAGGAGATGGGATAGGTCACTAGCCCTGCTCTCCACCATTTCCAAGTTCATATTATGCAATAGCATGCTAATAGTCAATCCTTTAGCGGCAAAATTCATCGGATTTCTGTCCGTTATTTGTCTCAATGAGCTATTTTCTTTCTTCTCTATCATGTTTCATTTAGTTTTTTTCCCCTATTAATTTGAATATTTTCTGTTCTCAGTACACATTCATTAGCATCCTCATAGTTGTAATGATCACCCATTTGTTTTTGGGCACATGTCATATCACATTTCACTCATTATGATAAACTGATACTTGCACTTAAGTTCAAATTATATGTGCATGTTATGAATTTTGTTTCACAATTTCGGTAAGAGTTCAGTAACTTTCTTTCCAAGCCACGAATCAATTTCAATGACTCAATTTCCAATCATTTCAGACTTAGTCAACAATGTCAGAATTTAAATGTTTTAGTTCTGTGTAACAGGATGCAGTGAACCAACAAATTCCCATGCACCAAGGGGGGGCAGATGCTGCAGCCACATATGGATTTGGGGCCAAGGCCTATGGTAAGCTTAATTCCCCTGTAAAATCTAGGTTTGTGCTTAACATGATTTGTGTGGTTGCATAATGTCTAGAGTGAATTCTCTGTTCTTGACTTTTTGCTGCAAAGAATTCTTCCTAAAAAACTGTAAAGAATTGCAGACTCAGCCATTTTTATTTTAATTTGTTAACTCTCAGGATCCTACACAAGCTCCCAAACGTGCACATGGCACCTCCTGAGATTAGAAACTATAAGAAACAGCTGTACATTAATTGGCAAACAAAGAACAGTGGAATAGTTGAGGAGATGGGATAGGTCACTAGCCCTGCTCTCCACCATTTCCAAGTTCAGATTATGCAATAGCATGCTAATAGTCAATCCTTTAGCGGCAAAATTCAGGCTTTCTGTCCATTATTTGTCTCAATGAGCTATTTTCTTTCTTCTCTATCATGTTTCATTTAGTTTTTTTCCCCTGTTAATTTGAATATTTTCTGTTCTCAGTACACATTCATTAGCCTCCTCATAGTTGTACTTATCACCCATTTGTTTTTGGGCACATTTCACTCATTATGATAAACTGATACTTGCACTTAAGTTCAAATTATATGTGCATGTTATGAATTTTGTTTCACAATTTCAGTAAGAGTTCAGTAACTTTCTTGTTAGTTTATATTTATATGTGAAAATCGTTTCGTGTTAGTGTTGTTGGTTTAGCATATGATTAAATTGCTATGCTTATTTCGAATAATGAGGTGTTAGTGACATCTCTAATGTCTGCAGCCTTGTGGGGTCGCTGAATAATGATTAAATTGCTATGCTTATTTCGAATAAGGAGGTGTTAGTGACATCTCAATGTCTGCAGCCTTGTGGGGTCGCTGAATAAGATCCCTCTATCTGTTTCTGGTATCCTACTTTTCAAAGTCCCGACCAGTTTAGAGAACTCCGCTAGCATTTTCTTTGGTAAGTTCTTTCAACTAGACTGGCTTCAGAATGTGATGTACTACTTTATTACTTTGCAAAGACAATAGAGTTTTGTAGCATTAACCATAAAAAATTGCAATTTGGTAGGTCTTGTGGCTGGAGTATTTTTCGCCAGAGCCAAAATGCGGGAGAGATCTCAATCCTGAACTGTGGTAACTAGTTAGTATTTGATGACAACCAAGTTTTTCACTGTGTGAAAGCTGCATCCGGCTGCCTTAATATCTCATTCTTCAATTGTGGGAAATCATTTTATAGATTCTCATGAAGTCTTAAAGAAGATTCTGCTAGGCATGAGGAAAACTTCCATTCGACTTCATCAGGCCATCTAGAGATGTTGTGTACCAAACCTTACCACTAATTTTTTCACCAATCTGTATTTTGTTGTGTAACTCATTCCTCTGTATCTATTCTATATCTAAATACAATTATATTCGGATTAAACTACATCATGCAATTCAAAAGGAAACTAGACAAAAAAATTGGATCCATCTCTTCATCTCTCTCCCACCCACTGATAATATATTAATTTTGTGAGAAAAAAAAAAAAAAAAAAAAAAAAAAAAAAAAAAAAAAAAATTTGTTTTCAGGTATATGCTATTTCTGTATAGAACAAAGTTGAAAGCTTGTATAGAAGATGTGTTTATTGTGTCATTCGCAGGTATGAGTTAGGCCAGTAAGTTCGCCGCCTTGCATCTTAGTTTGAGTCCCCAATTAGATTAATTTAAAGTTGGTTAAACTATCAATTGTATTAACAAAAGAAAGTATTGTGTCGTTCATTGTAATTTCAAATAAGTACGAAATTGGAAATAAAAGAGCATTAAAATGCTGGGTAAGAGTGTTTTAAATAGCGGATTTGTCGCTAGCTTCATAGCGATAGCGTCATGGAAATTTTTGTCCGACATAGCGGACTATATTCATTGAAGTGTCGAATAGCGTCGTGTAAGCTATATCGCCGTCGCGCTATTGCGTTGACTCGGGTTGCGGAATTTTTCTCTTTTTGAAAAACAATTGTATAAAACGACGTTGATAGGTGTTGCTTCTCAAGGGAACAAACCATAAACCTCAAATTTACCTAAAAATTGACACAAATCCATGAAATTGAAGGTCATGCATACTTCGATGTTTCTAATCGATAGGTGTTGTTTTTGGGCAATTTCAGAAATTGAATTTTTTTGTGAATTTCGGAATTTCTTATGTATGAGAGGTATTTAGTTGAATCGGTTTATGGGTTAATTATTTGAATTAGTTCATTTATATTCAGTTATTCAATTGAAGTTGTTTATTGGTAGTTTAGAGGAGAGTGCTGATAATTTGGTAGTTATTCCTTCACTTTTTGATTGCCTATATATATATATATATATATATATTATGTCTTATCTTTTTTAGTTATAATATTTATATTCCAAAATAGTTTATGCAACAACGCGTCAATGCTTACGCTACGTTATAACTTACATAATTTGTCACTCAATTCGCGATGTAAGACAAACATTGGGTTGATATAAAAACTACTTCAAGAAAATGTGATAGCGTACTACTTAAGATGTTTTGCTCCAATTAAGGACTTGAAAGAAGCTCAAAGAAATAGCATCAGTTTTTACTAAATCAAAAATATTACTGGACTTTCAGACCAAGAGAATTATAAATATTACCAAATAAAAAACTAATTGATAAAAATATTGCCTGTGCAAGAATTAATTATAAAGAAAATCGCAACGACTAAGAAATGCCAACCTTATCATCTTGAATCACAGTCATAGCATAGTCAGGAGGAGAAAACAAAAAAACAAAATGGCTAGATGTCCATATAACTTAAAGACTTTTACCAGCTGCTTTTCAAGGAAAAAATTGTAATGATTTATTTTGTCCATAAATTTGTTCTTAATGATTAAATTTGAGGACTTTTCTCAAGAGTAGTTTCCTAGTTAAATCTCACTTTTGTCCTCAATTTCTAAATATCCAAAAATAAAACCTTAAATAGAGATGTAAAAGGGAATTTTAAGATTACATGGATTGATTAGAGAGTTTGAAGATGAAAACGAGTACTTCTAAAAAGTTCGAGGACCACTCCCATCTTATGTTGATTATTGATTTGTCCATGTAATGTCGCATTACAAAAATACTAAGACGTAAGTATGAAAACGCCAAAGAGGAACAACAGAAATGTGATCTGTTACATTTGTTTGTACATAATATTTTAATGTGCACATCTAGTTAAATTATTAAAATTGGTATTATTGTAAACGAGAACACAATGGTTTGATGAAGACATAATCTTAAATAATGTAGCGTGAGCTGAAGTTAATGGTGACCTAACTGAGGTTTGAGGTTGCTCTCAAAACAACAAAAATTAAAGGTTTGAGGGAGGGAGAGAGAGAGATTCACAAATCTTAGCATAAAAACTTAAGTTAATTAAGAAATTTGGGATTATTACTTGTTATCCTTAACTGGATTTACGAAACGGAACAAAGAAATTATCAAAAAAGATGGCAATTAACGGAACCACCAGAAAATAAACAAGGAGAGTGTGATCCTAAACCAAAGAGGAAATTAAAACATCTACTTGGATTTGGACTTGGAAATGAGTTCAAGAGCAGCAGACTGGGTTGGAAGAGCTGGAATTGCACCCTTCTGAGTAGTACAGATTGCTCCACAAGCATTTGAAAAAGACAGAGCCTCCTTCAATTTTGTTTCATCCTATGTGGTTAATTAAAGTTAAGGTTAGGCCAATTACAATCCAGAAATACAAGTTTAAAAAACATGTCTAATTAATTTGGGACTGAACTTACCTCAAAGATGGACATATCTTTGGCCATGGAAAGCAAAAATGAGCCAACAAATGCATCACCAGCACCAGTTGTGTCGACAGCTTTAACAGAGAAGCCAGTCACCTTTCCTTTAAATTTCTGTATTACATTTACATGCATGTATTATCAGGAAGCAAATTAAAGAAACAAATCAGACCAAGTACAACCATGTACAACCAGTATTAAGTACTCATGAGTCATTATTTAGTCATCAAATTTGTTCACTGGATGGTTTGCTAATTAAGATATACGTTCAAGCATCTTACAGTTAATAACTAGTACTCATGTTAAACAAGCGGGCACACTGATTTAGTACATGTAGAAAAGGAAAAAAAAAGTGTATATACATGTATAGAGATGTTCAAGTGCGATGTGAACACAAGCAGTAGCTCTAGATACTCACGCACCTTAGTGTAATATCTGCAGCCCTTCTCACCATCAGTGATGACAAGCAGTTTGAGGTTGTCATGCCATAGGGACAGAACCACATCTTCTTTTTCTGCATCTCCTTGCGTTAGGAAATGCACCTCGTCGTCGCTCACCTATACATATGCATGCAACAATCATTAATCACAATGATATCTATAATTAATCACCGAAGACGTATGTACCTACGCAATTTCTATTAGAATTCTTTATCTAAAAATAGCATAATTCAATAAAAAAGATTTGCAGCAAAGCGTAATTAAGAAGTCAAGAATACTATAAACCCTAATCCAATTTTGACATCCAATTAAACAGTCCTGCAGAGTGCCACCATGGACGATCTAATTCAGAAGGAAGTCATAAAATTAAATAAAGATTGGTTTTTGGGGGAATGGATGCGTATATCTAATTGTTCAGGAAGATGAGCAAGTAATTTGTATTTTATATTAATATACAAAAAAGAGAGAGTATAAATACCTTGATGAAATCAGCCTGATTCCATATGCTCTTGATCCCCTCCCTAGCAGCATCAGCAGAGGGCCAGAGAGGCAGCCTAACATTGGGATCATAGGAAAGCATAATACCGGCATCCTTAGCGGCTTTCATGGCTGCCATATGAGCCGATCTGCATGGCTCGGAGATGAGGCTAATGGATCCGTAGTGGAATATCTTAGCTTGCTTAATAAGAGGCATGTTTAGCTCTGAATCCTTTAGCAACATGTCAGCACTAGGGTTCCTGTAGAACATGAACTCCCTTTCACCGTCCTTCCTTAAGGTCACAAACGCCAACGCCGTTCTAGCATGCGTATCCACGCACACTCCCTCGGCGTTCACCCCATTCTTCTTCAATATGTTGATCAGCATGTGCCCGAACTCATCATCTCCAACCTGCAGATGCACAACTCCTTAATTACTAAGCAAAACTTATTATAATAATAATTGATTTCTTAATCAAAACCAGCAAGCAATAGATCTATATCTAACCTTTCCAACGAAAGCCGATTTACCACCAAGCTTGGTGATGGCACAAGCCACATTGGCAGGTGCACCACCGGGGGCCTTGAGGAAGCCCGTGGACTCAGCCAGCGAAACTCCTGCAGTGTCGGGCACAAAGTCGATGAGCATCTCTCCAAAAGCTACAATCAATGGGCTCTCTGAATTCGCCATTCTCTTCTTCTTTGATTCTTCTCAACAAGATCTGTATATATATAAATATATATTATTGATTCATTTGGTCATTGGCCAGCACTCCCTTTATATAGAGATAACGTTTCTTTGGGAGGAAGATAGTGTTCACCGTAAAATTAGCAAATACTTACTATCCATATTACGATATACTTCCAACTGAAATTAGTTGTTGAAGATAACTATAGTAGTAATATGCATCATGTTACTACGTATAACTATATCAAACGGCTGATATTATTCAAAGATTGCTAAATTCATTATTGTCCCTCCGATCGCCATAACAGATGATTATCAATAGTCGGTCTTAAAAGCATTCATCGTATTATTACTTGTTTTGGATTCTGCTTTGTATTCTTAAATTGAGATATGATTGTGACTCTAAATCTTATCTCATATAATGAAGAGAATCCTTTCAAACAATTTATTACTTTATATAAAATCGACTCTTTTTGTTCTTTTCATTACACGATAAACTTTGAATTCCTTGTTTGGCCTGATCTAGTTGAATATTATGACTAGGGGACACTAGACAAAAGCTGCTCCTTCACGCTATGGGATTGACTCTCAAATTGCGTTTGTTGCCCGCTATGGGATTGACTCTCAAATTGCGTTTGTTGCCCGTTCAAATTCAATTTCAGATCGTTTAATTCTGCGCAATTTCCTAGGGCTTTTCGGAAACAAAATAGAAGATTTACCACCAATAAAAACTCACTAATTGTGAAATCCTAGCACAGCATCAGGATCCTGATGATTGATCCATATATATATATTTTTCTTTTGTTTTTCAAATGAAACTATCAAATTGAGATCCGTCATCCTTGATCCTTGATCCTTGATGAGCTAAGGCCCTAGGGCCCAAAAAAATAATACCCGAGGCGATGAGTCATTCTATAATGAGGACCTTATCTAAGACTCTTATATGAGGTCTTATCTCTTAATCATTATTGGATCAAGCTAAGCAATCAATTTGATCCAAACGGTTAAGAGATATAGCCTCACCTCTCCTTACCAATGGAGGGTCAAACACATATATAATGTGAGCTTAAAATATTAATTAAACTAATGCCATTGCCAGCTGAACTAATCTTGTTACAATTGCATCTCCTTCAAATCTATTTGTTGAAACCGAAATTGGGTCAAAGTAGTAGAGAGCCTTGTGATTTTCTCTTGTTTGGAGTGGGAGTGGCCTAAAAAATTAATGTTTACATACCTAAAACCACTCCAAGAGACAAAAGAGGTGGTCATTGGTCATTGAATAATGAGCACCAATGTGCTGCTGCATGCGCATCAACTGTCCAATGCCAAAGTTGGTGCTCATTCTAGAAAAAGGGACATAGATTTGGTATATATATGTAAACAAGTCCAAAAGCACATGCACATACTAGATGCATATCGTTTACAAATCATTAACTAGGTTTACATGGTACATAACATGCACTTATATGTCCCATAGATTTATTGCAAAATGAGGCAAACGGCTTATATAAAATTAATTAATTCTAGCTGAAGTTATAGTGCTTGTCTACGGCCACTGACACGTCCCAAGTGCAGCTCATTCCCTTTGGAAATTCCACCAAGTCCCCAGCACCAATCTCAACTGACTCATTTGACCCATCTGGGGTAACCTTCACTTTTCCTTCCAGCAGATAGCAAGTCTCTTTGTCACTGTATGTCCATGGAAATTTGCTTGGGGGGCAACTCCACCTGTTAACTCAGCGCATATGCATAATCCATGCATGCAGCACAACACAACCATAATTAATATCATGTCCCAACCAAAAGAGAGAAGATATGAATCTCAAAGCAACAAAGCAACAAAGCATGAGTAAAATTACAAGAACTAAAAGGTAGTAGTTCTACTTACTATTACTAATTGATCTTTTCATTTTGCAAGTCTCCCTAAATCCTAAGAAATAAATTCTTTAAACTTTTCAAATTGCATTTCATCTTGTAATTGAGAAAATAATTGCCTCTCGCTATATATTTTTCGTCTCATAATCAGAATAAACAAAATATAAATATAAAAAATAAAAAAAAAGTAAAAAGAGAAAATCAACAGAGAAACAAAGATGTAATTATTATTTTCCAACAGATGCAATCTTGTATGTGTCTCAACGGACAAGCAAGTTTACTCATCTCTTCCCAATACGACACCAGAAAATATATTAATTTGTTATTGCGAAAAAGGAAAATGAGAGAGAAAATAGAAGAGATATATACTTGGGCCAATTTCTGACGCCCAGTTGGCTGAGCCTGGACTCGGGAGGATTCTTATCAACTTTGATACCCAATTTGTCAGTAGACATAGTCTCTGCTACTACTGTCAGTCTCACTGATGATGATCTTCTGCTCCTCCCTGTTGTTGCAGAAAATAAGGAGCGCTTGGGTTCGGTGTTTAATATACTAAAACTATTATTAACACGTAATGACGCCATATTGTATTACTCTCTCTCTCTCTCTCTCTCTCTCTCTCTCTCTCTCTCTCTCAACTTCAAGCGGTACGTTTGTTTCAGATCAGAACCTTACTAGTTTTCTTTCCTTTTGTATTTTCTTTATAACTTTTCCTGGTGTCCACGTCTTAGCGATTTTCTTCCACATATGCCTTATCCTTTCTTTTGGCCTCAACGTATATATATAATATACCTCATCTTTATTCACAATTTATTTTATTTTATTTTTGTATAATGTGTGTGTATAGCATGTCCCCTCACATGATCACATGCATCCATTCAAAGGCGGAGCTAGAATTGTAAATTTGGGGAGAGGGGGTCAAAGTAGAAAATACAAGTATATAAAACACCGGGGGGGAAAGGGGGGAGGAGGGGGTCGAAGTCGAAAATACAAGTATATAAAACACCTAGGTATTCAATAATTACATGTTCACAGCTAAATATTTCTAATTGAGTCATGTCTAATTTGTTTTAGAGGAAATTTTAACTTAAATTGTAAGTTATTTATTATAAATTCTATATATATTATATATAATATAATAGAGGAGAGATAAAATCTTGGAGGGCTAGGGCCACTCCAGACCTAGAACTGCATCCATCCACCTCTCAGCAGCACTAAGGCTCGCCAAACACATTAATTCTTGTTCATTTGCTCGGATCAACAAGTGTTTTTGCATTGTTCTCACCAATCTAATCCTAGCTATTCAAGAAGTAGTTTGCAATAGATAATCACATGTAGTTGGTATAAGCAGCCCTTGGACACCATGAAGTGAATTCCGTCATTTACTTAGTTAATTATAATCTCTCTTAGTGTGTTTTTGTCCTTGTTCTGTCTTTCATTTTCACTTGCGTTTGTGCTGAAACTTCAATGATAAACATGTTCAATCAAATTTTGTCATTCTTTCGGGATCAAACTGAAATCACCTTCATTGACTGCTTAAAATACATCCAGCAATATCAGATGACTAGAGGAGTAAATTAGTGGCCTCGTTAAAACCTTACTATAAAAAACCTCCCGAAGGAGGAAAATCCAGTCAAGGAAAGAGTACCACACTCCTCTTTTGTCATTTAATTCATCAATCTCAACTTAAATATTACAACGTGGGTTGAAATGAGTCTGTTAGCGTCTTGAGCCGAAGAAGCTGAAGCAACCCGAAGGAGCATGACTACGAATTGAGGCTTCACTGTTTGACGTGTTAATTGCCTCTAGCATGGAAACAACCTCCTCCATTTCTGGCCTTCTCTTGGGTTCTACATCCCAGCACTGTTTCATCACTTTGGCTAGAGAGCTTGGGCAATGCTTGGGTATCTCTGGCCTCAAATTCTGAAGCAATACAAAAGTAGAAAAATAGTAAGTTTGGGGTCACTCAGACTACATTATAAAGCTGCATTTGAAAAAATAAAGAAAAAAATATGGAAATATAAATTACATACTTTATAAACAACAGCTGAAGTCAATTCGGAGAACGTGATGTTAGGGTAGGGCATATCGCAGCAATACATCTCCCACAAGCAAATGCCGAAGCTATAAACGTCGCATTTTCTGTTGTAGGGTTTACTTTCCAAGACCTGCATCATCATCATCATATTATCCAATTAGAACATTTGGTATTGATCAGATTGCTGCAATTAAAATATAATTCAAAGTCTAGGGCAAGCCTTTATAATCTAAGTAGAGAAAAAAGAAAGTAAATTAATTGATACCTCAGGGGCCATGTATCCAGGGGTTCCCGTGTAGCCTGTCATCTCTACTAAATTTGAAGCCTCAAGACGAGCAACTCCAAAGTCTGCTATCTTCACCCTACCATCCTTATCAAGAAGCACATTTTCCGTTTTCACGTCTCTATGAACAATGTTCTTGGAGTGCAAATAACTCAATCTGCATGCAAACACATATACATATATCATTAGTATACTTGCTTATATAATATATATTGAAAAACATATGTTAGAAACGTATGTATTAATATTACACTACTACTTAGGTCTAGGGAGAGAAATCAAAAAAGATAAATAATATATGTAGGAAAAGAGAGATACCCTTTAGCAAGATCAACTGCCAGTCGTTTGACTGTCTTGAGAGGCAACTTCTTTTTCCGGTGTTGTATGATGAAGGCTTTTAGGGTTCCTCTAGAAAGATACTCAGTAATAACAGAGGCTGAATCATTATCCGTTGTGGCTCCAATACACTAATCACAAAAAAATTTATAGAAAAAGAATTAATAACAAATAAAGATAAAAATTTTGAGACTGACAGAAGAACGAAAAGCAAAAACAAATAACCATTGTCGTAGTACCTTAGTAATGTTAGGATGATCAAGCTTATGCCAAATAGAAACCTCTTGCCTAAAATCTTTCTTCAAAGAAGCTATTTCAGCTTTTGTTCGGCCGTCTTCTCTCCACTCCAATATTTTGACTGTATAATTAAAGAAAAAATAAAAGATACACCTTCAGTGAAGTTCGAAAAAATTTATATACACATATATATACACATGAATTTGTGCATGTAAACATATTTAATTACCATACCTGCAACTTCTTGCCCATCGTAGATGCCTTTATGTACAGTACCGAAGCCTCCACGAGCAAAAACTTGTTTCACGACAAGTTTCTCTCGAATGATTTTCCATTCTTGAGGAACTTCTTTGGCCACCACGTCTCTCACGTTGATGACTTTGCTTTCTTGGTCATGCAATTCTTTCTTCTTCTTCATAAAGCGCAAGTGGAGATTCTCCAACTGCTCGTCCAAACTTTTCACGTCAATCTTGGTTGCCAATGCCATTTCTTTAGTATGAGAGTTTATGAGAGTTTTGAGTTTGTGGTTTGGTGTGGTGTGGTTGGGTATATATTTTAGGTATGAGAGTTAGGATGTTTGAGTAGTATATATAGAGTCGAACCACGAGGCCTCTTCCCTTTCTAATATGGTATGGTAATCCATGTACAAATGGAACACTACCTTCATTTACCTAGCATTACAAGTTTACAACTATTTATTTATACAGACCCCAAAATATCAAAATGGACCTTTATATTACGTTGTCTTTTCGACTAGATCCCTGAAACTAAGCCATTTATCACATTTTTCGACCAAAAAATATATATATAGAAAGCCATTTATCACATTTGTGTTCGGCCCACCAATGATGCAGTGCAAAAGTAAAATTTATTTATTATTTAAGAAGATAATCCAGCCCTAAATTTATAAAATTAAATAGATTAAGCACCAAATGGTGTGGTATCTTTTTTTCATATAAAAAATAAATAATAATAATAATAAAAAGTAGATATACATCTTATTTTGTTAAAAGGGAAAAAAAATAGTGGAACCACACAACTCACATCTGTTGCACCCTTGGCCTAAGGCTTAAGCTTCGCTTCTCACATATGAGTAATCTAGTTGTGTTTGTCACCGAATACTGGGGAAAACTCATAATCTTGGAAACCCTAATTCCTACTTTCACCAATAAAAACTCATGTTGAGGGATACTGTTTAGGTCCTCTATGAATATTTTTTCAAAGATCCAATTTTAAATCTCTATTTTTAAAATTCATAGATCATCCTTGCAAAAAATCATGCAAATTGAAAATCATAAGGCATCTAGTTGGGATAACAAAATAGACGAACACGGTGCTTCAAGAAAATGCTATAATAACAACCATCTAATTGAGTGGTCAAATGGTTTCAGATTCAAGTGATTTTTTGTAGAGATGATCTTTGAGGAAATATCTAAAAACTAGACGGTTTGGATCATTGTAATACAACGCAGTGTGGACCCTATAAACATATCCCTCAAATAAGCTTATTTGAGGAATCCTTCTATTCAAATTCTCTAATAATAGTTTGAACAAACAATTCTATCTCCTCGGTCCCTTCGTCTTCTCTCCACCATGGCAAATGATTGTTTTTCAAAACCCTTCTATATGTTGTAAATCTCTTATGATTTTGGACGTTTTCTCTCTTTTCCTCCATCCAAGAAATTCAAGTGGGCTAGTGCTGCTTAATAATGGTGAAGTGCAGACACTAACTTGGCGCTGCTTCTTGGATTGGACCCAGATAAAACCTTTTAAATGTAGCTGATACTAGCCACCCAGCCCCAGTTGCACTTGAAGAGAATGATGCATCCAATCATGCTAATTAATACCATACCCAATATTAATCATCACTAATGATTGCTGAAATACTTCCTCCTCAATTTCCACACATCCTGATACATACGCCTACTAAATTCGGAAGCATCAATGAATTGGTCAATATATCTGTTAGCACAAGGCACTCTACGGCCTTAAACATATCTCAAGAGTATGGTTTCAGCCATTGGAATCCTTTTTGCTTGCACAAGGATTTTCCCACAGCCAATTGCTCTTTGCTTCTTCATTGCTCCTCTCATCACAATATCAAAATGAAAATTTTTAGGCTAAATTATTGAAATGCCCTTTATAACTCAATTTCAGTCTCAATTTCCCCCTTGAAACTCTAAGTGTCTCACTTTCCCCCATGAAACTCCATATATTGTCTCACTTTGCCTAGATTTCATTCAGCCCTAACAGAAGTCGTCAAATCTTAACCTGCCAAAAACAACCTTTTCCTTACAAATTCAGATACTCTCTGAATCTGCAACTACACCTAGACTCATTTGCAAAACCAAACCCCTCTCCAAACTCCAAGAAACGAAGAACAACCTCCAACAATGTCGACAGCCCAACTCTCTCTCTCTCTCTCATTGTCCTCTCTCTCTCTCTCTCTCCTCCTCCTCCCCCCCCCCCCCCCCCCCCCCCCCCCCCCCCCCCCCCCTCGTCAACGCCGCCAAAATCCTTTCAGAGATCCGCTACACCTCCATGGCTCTAACCCTCGACCTCGCCTCTCAAACCCTCCTCCTCTCCCAGTCTCCTTCTCTCACCATCTTCTCCCTCACCGACGCCGCCTTCTCTCACTCCAGTCAGTCACCACTGAACCTCCTGCAATTCCACATCATCCTCATTTATTTCTCTCTCTGATCCCTCAAGTCCCTACCTTTCGGCGCCAAGATCTCAACTTTACTCTCTGATCGCTCTCTCTCCGTCACCACTTTGGCCTACGACCCCAGAGTCTCACTCAACAACATCCCCATCACTGTTTCCCCAATTTTCGATGATGGGTCATTGATAATTTTCGGAATTGACAGGTTCTTGGAATGCGCTGAGGTCAAAAAGGTGCTCCGTTATGGCTTCGCTTCTTGAAATGCAATTTCATGGTTTTTCTTCAAGTACCAGACCATGATGACTGTGTTTGCTCCATTTGACCAAGTCTTAATGAACCGAGTTGGGAACTTGAGTGAGCAATCCTCCATCTTTCATCGCCATGTGGTGCCCTTTGGGCTTTTGTGGAGCGATTTTGTAACACCCCGACTCTATTCAAAAGGTTAAAATTAAATTAATTGTGAAATTACGAAACTACCCTTGGGGTAGGGTATTTTGGTCATTTTCTTGTCCGGAAGGATTTTGGGACCACAAGTGGTTTAGTTGTGTAAGTGGTTCTGAGATGAATTCGTAGACAGGCGGTAGGCTTGAATCGGAGTTATAACGAAGTGTTGGCGATGAAATTTCTTTCGGTGGCAAAATCGTAAATAATTCGAAAAGGTTTTTGTAAAAAAAATCAGATTTTCAATTTCAGTTCACTTTCCTCTCTCTCTCTCTCTCTCTCTCTCTCTCTCTCTCTCTCTCTCTCTCTCCCGTGCGTTCTCTCTCTCTCCCGTGAACTCTCTCTCTCTCGTCACTGTTCATCCGAACGGAAAAATCCACGCCGCCATCACTTCCGGCCACCGCAGCTCTCGAGACTGGTCCCAAAAGCTTCGTCTCGACGTCCTAGTCAAGACCCAATAGCTTTCGTCGTCGGAAAACTCGAAAACAGCCGGCAGTTTCGACTGGCTCGAGCCGGACTTTTCCGGTCGTTGCGCCGCCGCCTCCGCCGTCCATTTCAGGTAAAATTGGTGGGGTTTCTCCTTCGTTTTATCTGTTCTAGCTGCCTGTTGCTTAGGATTGAAACGATTTTGAGGTTTTGGAAGTTATTTTCGAATTAGGTTTTTGGCCGGTTTTCAATTCGAAATTCCGGCCAGTTCCCGGTGGTTTTGGGCTTGGCCGTAGTTGAATGAAGTGCTCCCCTAGTTGAGTAGGACCTGTAGCCGGGAGGGTGACTTGTGATTTGGAGATTTTCTGTCGCCGGAATTTCTCTGCACACCCGCTTGCTGCCGGCGAGTGTGGCGGCGCATGGGCAAGTGTGGTGGAGCTGCAAACTGTTCCAATATGATCTTTAAGTTGTCACGAGCGCATAGGATTTCGCGGATCTCAATTCCGAGGTCGTTTGACTATCGAACGAATTATCGCATATTGTGCGTTATTCGGGTTCGATATGTTCTGACCGTTGGATCGTTTTCAAATTTAAGTATGTTCCTCTGGATAACCGTAAGATCGTGTAGGATTCGACGGATCGTAAAACGGAGTCCCGGATACTCCGGAAATGCCAACCCTAGGGTGAGGGTTTCAGTAACCGTCCAATTGTGCGATCGTGAGCGGTCTAACCGTCCGTTTCGGACCAAACTTACAGGACGTGTATCCTAGACCTCGTAAAACCTATAGGAACTCCCGGGAAGCTAGGGTTTTATTTCAAAGTTCTGTTTTGAAGTGCTTGATATTCATCGCATTTTCGTATTCTGAATCAGGTACTCCGACCCAGCATACACAGCAGGCGGGACCCTCTAAGGGTCAAGCCGTGTGGGACTACTTGTGAGTGGACTTTTCTTTTGAAACTCAGTATGATTTTATTCATAGAAATATGGCATATTGTTTTATTATGTCTAGTAATTATTTATATATGCTCGAATGGGAATTCGAGGTTTTCATAAAACTTACATTGATATTTGAATTTTGAGAAGCTATATTTACATGCGGCTATGCATGGGGTACTTGGTGGTTAATATGAACTATGGAAAGGTAATGTTGGATCTATTATTTGGAGTGCGTTAAGCACTAATTTATGTACCTCCCCTGATCTGAATTTGGTTACGATGAGAACTCAGGGCATCCTTGAGGGGATGTTGCTGTGGACCCTGGATTTGGGGTAGTCTGCGCGCGTAGGACTGGTATTTCAGGCGTACAAGCTTTGATTGTGTCGGCTGTATGTGCTGGCTGAGAGTTAGTCCCCCGGTTGGACGGCTCGTTCCCTAGACACATGGTGAATTGAGGAATGCTCTGCCATGTGGCCTAGTCAAACAGTCCCCCGGTTGGATTGTTTCCCCGGTACAATTAAATATTGGTTATCTTTATATACTATTATTATTATTATTATTATTATTATTATTATTATGTTATCTCATATTATTATTATTATGTATGTATATTATTTATATGAATGTTCCTTCGTTCTATTTTTCGGTAAGGATACTTCCTCGCCAGTCGTACTTTTGAGTACGTTTACGAGAGTCTAATCTCTCGGGACTCTTAAGTTGAGTGGTGGGTTTCGTGAAGCATTATTCACGGATTACGGATTTGAGATCCGGTATATATGTGTTCGTGTATGTTTATATATATATATTTTTTCTGATGGTTCTGTTATGCTTATGGTTTCATTGTATGTTTTTGATAAAGGTGGGGGTTATACTACTTTATTTCTTTTGAACTGAACTTGATTTTTGTCCACTCACAACTTTCTATTTTGCGCCCCCAGCCAGTAGCGACTGAGCTTTGCAGTTGAGCCGGACTGGGTGCATCTTGGAACTCGAGTCTTCGTAAAGACTCTTGGTGCTTTGTTTTTCCTTTCAGTTAAACGGTACTTCGGTTGTATTTTGAATTCCTTAGATATGCTCTGTATCGCCCGCTGAGGGTTTAATTTTGTGAGGCCGGAGGCCTTTGTTGTAAAATGTTTTGTTGCTTGTAAAGCATGCTGCCAGTTGGTTGTAATTAACTGTAAATTTTGAACATGTTGAAGTTTGGGAATGTTCAATTTACAGGGGAGACTCTACCAAATTTTTGGTAGAAAGTCTCAGTCTTTACTAAGTGGGCCCGGCATTAGGTCAATGTCGGTAATTAGGCGGGGTCCTTCCCGGATTCCGAGAAAATTCGGGGCGGGTCTTGTCAGATTTGGTGAGTTTCAATGATGGGACGGTGTTGAGGACTAATCTGATGAGGTTTACAAACAATATCACTAGATCCCAAGACGTGTTGATGCTCAATGGTGTGTCGATCATTTTTCCATAAGTGTATCACAAAGGCTGGTTTTCGATTCACGGAATCAGTGAGGTTCTTGAGGTGCCACATAGAACAGAGCGACTATGGCTTCGTTTTGCCAGGGACAAAAGAACCCAGAAAAACCGTACATAGGCCTCAAGTGTGCAAATTTGACGACTTTTGTTAGGGCTGGATGGAATCTAGGCAAAGTGAGACAATATATGGAGTTTCAGGGGAGAAAGTGGGACACTTAGAGTTTCAGGGGGGAAACTAAGACTGAAATTGAGTTATAGGGGGCATTTCAATAATTTAGCCAAATTTTTAAACATCTACGAAAATAGGTACCCTCTTTTATTTACTATTATTACATGAAGGTTCGAACCTAGGATCTCTACACGCATCCCTCCATCCCCCCATCCCTCTATCCATTTATAATGCTCCCCTGTTAAACTAGCCAAGTTAATCAGTCACATCTTGCGCACTTGCCAAAGAGCACACCATCTGGAAATGGCTCTTCTGGCCTCTTCTATTCTTTCTTTCTTTAGAGTTTTTCGCTAAAGCAAAGCCTTCTTGCCTTAGGAAAAAACAACACAAGGGTTTCCGCAAATTAGAATTTTGGAATCTTCCTGTAAAACTTAAGAAAATGCAGCACGTATTAAGCCTCACACTCGTCATATGACTTTGATCTTTCTATTACAACCTTGAACTTCTTATCCCTTGTCCTGACCTGCAAAATCAAAATGTTTAAAGTTTTTAGTTAACACAGCTCAAGAGCAAAACAGAATGAAAGCAATAGAGGAAAACTCCACCCGGGAAGAAAAAACTGTTGCATGATAATCAAGCAACTATTGGCAAACAAAAAAACACAAGAAGGTAATTTCAATATGCGTTCCCTCCTAGCAAATTATGATTTGGATTATAACTTGCATCAAATAAACCAAATTCCAAGTAGTTATGAGTTACATAGCCCTCCTGGTGGTTTTCCAGAGCCACATGCTCAATTAAATCACACACTGCCAATATCAAAACAAAAACAAAAAATCCAAAACAATTATCTGTGATATGACATTGTTGGGTTGACAAAGGAAAATGAAATTGTCATCAATATATCAACCTTTAACTGGCCTATTGTTCAGCTAAAAGGGAATAGACAAATAAAGCAAAGGACAAGAATATGTCTTAGAGACCTAAAAACTTCAGAGGGATTTATAGTTTAGGCTCACTAGGTCAAGCCAATCAAACCACTACTTTTTTTGGCACATATACCAACAAAATAAAAAAAGGATGATGTGAATACTTACAAACAGTTAAAATTCTATAATTTTAACTATGCATCTTGATTTTATCTGAATTTGGTTGCAAGGAAATTTTCCTTGCTATAGAGTTATGATCATATCAAAATCTGAGAGTAGGAGTAAATTGCCATATGCAAAACAACACTTCAAATTAAATCCACAAGATGTCAAAATATACAGCTACTGAGAGAATTACCTCGACCTGTGGGCTTTTGCCACGAAGCAGAATATCTACACTCTTTTCTGTCTGCCGGATGAGAGTAGAGGGAAAAGAGTGTATTATATAAGTGAAAAGTTATTGCACGAACTAAAGAATAACTTATTCATATGAATAAAATAACTTATTTATATATAAGTTAATAACTTACATATGAAGAATTCACTTAATAAGTTAATTTACACACCTGATGTGTAACCCAATAGTGCCGCTGTCTCATCTCAATTAAGAATTCAAATGTTGGAGGTGCTTGCCTTTCAAGAATGGTTTTCTGAGATCTTCTAGCTTTGGCTTCACCATCTCCTAAAGTAACAGTTTCTACTCCTCCAACCTGAAAACAGAAATTACAACTTGGAAGTGCAACTTTTACCAAACAATCCTGCATCAAATTATTTATTTCACATTGCACAGCCAATGGGGGTTGTTCTCTATAACTTGTTGGGCTGCAACTTCAATTTAATTGCACAACATATTAGCAAGAAAGGGAGTATAAGAGCACAAGACCCTCAAAATCATTTGACATATTAATTAAATCCTGACTGGCTTCACACATTACTCTGAACTTGCATACCAATAACCAATCTAGAATATTGATGCGTACAAGGCCATTAACCATGGTGACCAGCTCATCAGTGGTTCCCTTATTACTCTAATTTACTAGATCTTATAACGATTTCGATCTTCATTTGCTATTATCTAGGACAGTCCAATATGCAATAAGGGGAAGACAATAGAACAAACCAGATCAGATAGAGTAGGATTCTTTAGTATATTCTCAAGCTGCTGTCCATGAGCAGTAGCAATAAGCATGACCCCTCTCTGAGCAATCGAGCGACAAGCAAGAGCTTCAGCTGCTGTGCCGATCTCATCAACAATGATCACCTCAGGCATGTGATTCTCTACTGCCTCTATCATAACCTTGTGTTGCATAGATGGTTCTGTTACCTGCATTCTCCGTGCTCCTCCTATTGCTGCATGTGGAATATTTCCATCCCCTCCTATTTCATTGCTTGTATCAATGATTACCTGTCCCAGTAGTGTTAGTGTTCTTTGAATCATGTGTTGAAATACAGATGCAAACACTTACAACAGAAGAGAGAGAGGAGGGAGAGAGGGAGTTGGCACCACATAATATAAGAAGAAGACAAAAAACTCAACTTACCACTCTTTTGTGAAATTCATCTGACAAGACACGAGCAATCTCTCGCAATACAGTGGTCTTGCCAACCCCAGGCCTTGACAAATTGAAGGACATCACCACTAAAGAATTATATATCACATAGTTTAGAAACATGCTAATAATTACAAGCACATTTTTGGAAATCCCATATCAATCAATAAGTTATTAGATTCTTTACTGAGTCACAGTAATGTTCACTGTTCACAGTGATCTTTGCCATATCCAAACTCTTCCTGTTTCATTATTTTATTGAGCCACAGTTCACCAGGGAGGTACAAAACCACATTTGACATTGGCAAAAGCCGGAATGGCATTACAAGATCTCATGATGTCATTTCTTAAGATCCAAAGAATGATAGATATAGTGCAGTTAAAGCTATCTCTTATTCTATTTCAACTACTCATCCCCTTAGAAACCAGTCACGCCCATGTGCAGGCTGTGCTAGACACAACATAGTGGTTTCATTTGTTTATATGCCATTACCCAACAACCCAACTGCTCCCATTGTAGCACATGTTTACCAGGACAACAGATTACATACCTTCCAACAAACAAGATGCTCTTCTCATATTGAAGCATATCATAAACCATGTCAATCTGACCACTTACAGCCCTCCCAACTCGGCAAGTCAATCCAATTATCAGCCCTTTTCTACTCTTAATAGCTGATATTCTATGCAAGGTACCCTCAATGCCAGCTCTGTTATCCCCCCCAAAATCTCCAATAGCATTTTGAGCATGCTCCAACTCTTCCAACGATACCTGGGTAACAGCCATATTGAAAACATCAGTAAATCCCACTGAAGATTTTTTTTTCTTTAAAATAGTGTGGGTGTGGGGGCATGTGTTGGGGGGAGGGAGGCCTGTGTAGCATACCATTCACTGTACTATTTGATTCATTGCAAGTAAGTTGCTGACTACCCTAGAAAGTTAATTGAAGTGGAAGACTTAAACAATTTATAACCCCAAAAGTGTGGCTTTACCACTGTTCTCCTTAAATATTGGCCACCAAGTTCACCAAGATAGCGTGCTTCCGGCATACGACCCAAATCCAATATAACCTATGGCATACATAAAGCATCGGATAATCATTCTGTAATAATATTTAAATAAATAAAAAAACCAGAAAAACACAGGCTATCTAAATGCAAAAGAGATACAAAAAGTGGGAGAATTGAGAAATGCCCCCTTTAAAGAAAACTTTGTTTTAAGTTTGCGATTGCATTTGCCTTTGCATCATCAAGTGTGTCAACTAGAGATACACAAGTTTAACTGAGGCAGGGTGTTTCTATAATTGTATTGCAGTTGAAGAAGATAAACAAGTGATTCATAAAACTGAGCAGTGGATAGATAGGGACTAGTCGATACTTGACAGACAATTCCAATGATAATTGAGCCTGAATCCTATCCTAGACATAAGAAAAATGAGGGAGATAGAGAGACCTCTAAGAGCCTAGCTCTTTTGGGCTCATTGAGAAGATTTTCGTGTAAATCATGTGGAAGAATCTGCAAAACAAAGGAAACAAGACTTAAATTTTTAGAATCTGCAGAGTGAAACTTGAAAAGGAACGCCTGCCAAGAAATTAAAAGAATTTGGCGACGACAAAAACGGAAAGGGAGACCTGCAACAAGGAGCGGAGATCGTCCTCATCATCCTGGACGACAACATCATGCTGCTGCTGTTGCTGCTGATGTTGATCATCAAAGCAACTGGAACTGTAGCCAAAACCCATAGGCGCTCTCAATCCCGCGCAGCACAGGGACAAGGAATAGGAGTAGGAATAGGAATAGGAATAGGATATCTTCTTCTTCTTCTTCTTGTAGTACAACTTGTTCTTCAAATTCAATCGCATCAAACTTGTGACTCTCGCAACGGCCACCGGGTTTGGGTTTGCCCACAAGCTATTATGACAATGACTCATCATCCTGCTTCTGCTGCCGCCGCTTGTGCCTCTGCTCTTCCCTTCTCTTCTGCCCTCTGGTCTTCAATCACTCTGCTCTTCAGGCCACAGCCCTTTTTACCTTAGCTGGGCCTGGCTGACTGGCGGCAACTGGGGAGGGATATACAATACGATACAATCTTATTTTTCCTTTTTCTTTTATTTTTTGTTTTGAAGGGTAAGAAAATGTTTTATAACTTTAAAATTTTATTTGAATTTTATTTGTATGTTCAAAATTGAAATTGTGGGCCTAATGGGCAACCCAATTTTATTTAGTGTGTTCCTAATTTGGAATTGTGTTTTCCTTAGGCAGGCCCAAACCAAACCATTTCAGGAGCTCAAGACGACAAAGAAACACAACACAGTTACCCAACAGAAACAGAGAGAGGAGAGCGTGTGAGTCAGAGGAGAGAGACACAGAAGGAGATGATGATGGGCAGGGGAGGCAGAGATAGAGAGGAAAGGAATGAGGAGGAGGGCAAGGGTTTGCTGTGGAAGCTTCCTGTTATCAAATCCCCGCAACTCGGGAAGGTGGGTCCCGCCTTTGGTGTCGGCGTTGGCTGTGGCTTGGGCTTCGGCGTCGGCCTCCTCGGCGGTACTTGGTTCTTCTTTCTCTTTCATCTTCTCACATTGAATTGAGTTGAGTTTTCTGTTTGTATATCCTAATTTAGGGTTAGACTGCCAATCAATTAATTGCCACTGCCAGGCCTAGGTTTGTATAGATATAGAATTTTGGGTCCATTTAATTTAATTAGGGCACGGGCGCACAGCATATTAATTGTCTGGCAACTTGAAATTTAGGTCGTTAAGCTAAGCAGTCCTTGAATCACCAGTGGCAGTGAGAGTGAGGTGATCATTTATACAGCTAGAGCCTAGAGCTAGCTACCCGATGCAATTCTTTTCTAGCTGCACCTGCACCACTCGATTTTATCAACACAGTGGCAGTGATCATCTGATCATTTGATCATTTCTTATTCATCTTTATGTGTTTGTGTTATGTTTAATGACACATATGGTTTTGCTTTTGAAAAATCAACTCTAGGCTTAGGATTTGGTCCTGGGATTCCTGGCTTACAAGTTGGCTTTGGCCTTGGTGCTGGATGTGGGGTCGGCTTAGGATTCGGCTACGGCGTCGGCAAGGGCATTGCTCATGATGACCATCGGAGATACTCTAATGTTGGCAATCTTTTTCAAGGAGCAAATGTTGGCATTTCTCGTGCTTCTGGAAATCTGCCTACTCAGTAAGTTTGCTGTTTTCCTTTGTCCATATTTTCTGGGGAGAGGACTTTTCTTTTTCTTTTTCTTGTTTTGTTTTTTGAAAAATAGAAAATAAACCCTAATGTAAAGAAACCATGTAACCTTGTTCTGTTCAGTAAAAGTGTAAATCAACTTCAATCTGATTTATTTGTTGACGGGCAATACTAGGACCTTCTCTATCCAACAAGTTGCCAAATGATGCAGAAAATTGAAAAATTGTTTTGAAATCACCATTTTATAGGATACTTTTCCTGCTGTTCAAGTTTGTAATCCTCATTTGTATTGTATTAGTATCTACATGGGATATTCATTTTTCGTATGTTTTCGTCAGGGATGATATTGGTGCACTTGTTGAGGAGCTTGTTGATAATACAAAGAAACTTGTGAGAGCTACTACAAGAGAAATGGACAAGTGGAGAAGATGAGTTCTCTTTTGTGACTTGGAGCTTGCTGAGTTGTTAGTGTAGATTTGAATTGATTATGATTTACTAAATACTGTTATGTAGCTAAGGTCTATTAGTACTCTCCTCTGCGAGAAAACGCCGTCTTTCTCGCATTACTTGTCTATAATCTTCTCTATAGACTACAGTTTCTTGAAATGAACGCTTAAAATGATTAGATCTATGTCTTTTAAATGTGCAATAAAAATGAGAAAGAAAGGTGCGCTTCTAAAGAAAGAATGAATTGTACAATTTTAGAACTATCTCTTTTACTTAAGTTAAACAACAGAACATTTGTAAACATATGAAAGAATGTATAGCAAAATAGAACAGTTTATTCCTCAAAATCCTGACCAACTTTTTTGTTGTTGTCTGAGAATGCTCATTTGTGTGCAAAATCTAACTTCAAATTTTGGAAAATGCCATTTATCTTAAAATTTCAAAGATACAAATTTTGATCTTTTGTAACGTTGAGGTCGTCGTCGATACACAAAGGGGCGATATCCTTTCCCTCATTGACAGGGAATCCTTCCCAATGTGTAACCAAATTGATATTCAAGGTATCACAACAAACAATCTTCTCTTATCAAACAATCTGCATTGCTGAAATATCAAAATTACCCAAGTAAATTACCAACACTGACACCTTTGAGAGGCTTTTCTTTTCCGTGTCAAAAAGAGAGTAAAATTGACATTGAAGGGTCTGAAACGAGTAACAGTAGAATAAGCTCAATGTAATTTACCCAAGAAAAATATGGAGGATTTTACCGGATGATCTCCACTCTCACCTTAAACACCTAAGGGGGAAAAACAGTAAAAAACAACGTCTTGGGTTTTATGCAGCAAATGGGGTAGCTGTTGGGTATTTATGGTAAATTTGCAGATGAAAAAGGATGGCTGAGAGTGAGAGTGAGTGAGAGTGAGAGAAGAAAGAGTCGAGGCCATCAACATTGGATTGGATAGAAGATGTTATCTGAAGAGCATCCCACGTCAGCAGCATCATCTGCCAAATCACCAAATCCACCCTATGAAATCATGGGAATGGATTGCGCAGGTTCATTGCAAACCAATCAAATCCCGCAAACAAAATCCGACTTGGCACGTCCACATCCACCAGCTCAAGCTTATAGTATATCGCTTGTGAGCCATAGTTTCCACTACGTACTTCCTGAGTGAGTCCTCCTCCTCCTCCTGAGCATAATTGGGGCAGGACGCCGGTAGCTGAGAGAGAGAGTAGTTGAGAGAGAGAGAGAGAGAGAGAGAGAGAGAGAGAGCAGGTGAAGGTCAAGGTTAAACTGAAATGGCTTCTCTGGCAGCATCAACAGCGGCTGCTTCCCTTGGTGTGTCTGAATTGCTTGGAAACAGTCTGAACAACTTTAGCGGCGCAGCCAGGTCGGCCCCTTCAGCCACCACCCCAGCCACCTTCAAGACCGTCGCACTCTTCTCCAAGAAGAAGGCCGCACCCCCTCCCAAGGCCAAGGCTGTTGCTCCTGCTGACGAAGAGCTCGCCAAGTGGTATGGTAAGTTGTTCATCATCATTTTCTTTTCTCCCTCCAATTATTAATAAATCAGTGCCATGCCATGCAGTTAATTAATTAATTCATCAGGTCCTGATAGAAGAATCTTCTTGCCTGAGGGGCTCTTGGACCGCTCAGAGATCCCAGAGTACTTGACTGGAGAAGTTGCTGGCGAGTAAGATATTAAACATCTCTATCTCTCTCTAGCTAATTGAAATTATTGAGCCATTACTTGAACCTCTAATTGAGTTGTCCATTACTTCATTTCATTGATATGATGTGCATGATCCAATGCAGTTATGGATATGATCCTTTTGGGCTAGGCAAGAAGCCAGAAAACTTCAGCAAGTACGCTATTGCTATTCATAATACTCTCTCTCTCTCTCTCTCTAGACTAGAGATATGATTTCTTTCTCCTGCAGTTAATTTTCATTAGGATGGAAACAAACAGATGATCAATTTAATTGATGAAATGTGGGGGTAATTAATACCGTGGTGTCTTTGAATAATGTTAATGCAGATACCAAGCATATGAGCTAATCCATGCTCGGTGGGCTATGCTTGGTGCTGCCGGATTCATCATCCCAGAGGCCTTCAACAAATTTGGTGCTAACTGCGGCCCTGAGGCTGTCTGGTTCAAGGTTTGCATTTAGTTTAATAAGTCAATTAAACATTGTTTTTCATATCGGAGTAGAAGCGTTCAACTTATCATGACTCTACTGTATTATTACCCATGAATGCAGACAGGAGCTCTACTCCTTGATGGGAACACATTGAATTACTTTGGTAAGAACATACCTATCAATCTTGTCCTTGCTGTTGTTGCTGAGGTTGTTCTTCTAGGTGGAGCAGAATACTACAGACTCACAAACGGCTTGGTACGTAACTAGAATTCATTTTAATTTTATAGTTTACTACCCTGATTTCATCATTGCTGTTATCTGAACTAATAAATTCTGAGTAAACCCACATAAGATGTTGGAACTTTTCAAAATTTAGTCCGAGTATTTTAGTGTACAAGATAATTGATCATATCAAAATTCACACACTACTAGTTATAATCTGCAAGACTGCCTGCCTTATATCTGCAATGTCAACCCGGGAGCAAATCCCTTAAACTAAAGCCAAAATTTCACTTGCTTCATGAGACAATTTGAAAAATCTGAGGTTGAAGACAATAATAGTAGGATACAGCTCATGCATATGCTGGTAGATATATATGCCCTTTTAAGAAAAATAATAACGCAATCAATAAAAAAGAAAGGATTACGTGTATTAAGGATGACAATCTCATGACTCTGTTGTGTGATTTTCCTGGTAGGATTTGGAGGACAAGCTTCACCCAGGTGGTCCTTTTGACCCATTGGGGCTCGCTAAGGATCCAGACCAGGCTGCATTGCTAAAGGTGAAGGAGATTAAGAACGGAAGACTTGCCATGTTTTCCATGCTTGGTTTCTTCCTGCAAGCTTATGTCACAGGAGAAGGTCCTGTCGAAAACCTAGCAAAGCATCTCAGTGATCCCTTCGGCAACAACTTGCTTACTGTGATCGGTGGCTCTGTGGAAAGAGCTCCAACCCTGTAATTTTAAGTTTCCTCTTGCCGCTCCACTCAAAATTCAAGTGCATTATATATCACATTCCGTCCTTTTTAAGGCATTTAACCTTAATCCTTGAATGGAATTGCAGCTGCTTTTCATTTTATATATAGAGACCTACCATAACATAACCTACGGTTTTAGTGTCTGTCAAACTATATATGTTCTTCCGGCCAAAATTATCATGCTCTGCATATTCTTGACATCCAATTTGTTCAATGATCATTATCAAAATTTGTTCTTCTTTAATAACTTGGCTGTTTGCTGTTACAAGAATTAATTTGAAACCCTTCAAATAAATAATACTATATCAATGATATGAGATGACAGTTTCCAGAAAGGTTATACCATTACCATTCCCAAGCAATGAGACCTACCAAAACAGAGATTTTAGTACGCAACCAACCAGAGTTTCAAGGAAGTTGAGCCACGCATCAGCCAGGAATGTGTCTGGGGAGCTAAAAACAGAGATTTTAGCTCCAATTTGTGCTTCTCCTGTCACTCCTCCAAGTGTGTGGAAGAGAATAACAAAAGTAATAGAATTCTATAGTGAGATGAGGCATGAGGCGCTATCTCTTAACCATTTGATTAAATTAATCAATTTAATCCAACGATTAAAAAATAAGACATGATCTAACGACATTAGATAACATCCTCATTATAGAATGGCTCTAACAAAGTAATCTGAAAAACAGACCAGATAAGTAAGTATGAGGCCCACGAATGGGCTTGTGCAGGACAGCAGCCCATCGGATCCAATAACGACCATCGGGCTTGTGGGCCGTAGACCCAATGTTTGAGTTTGACTGAAGAGGCGCCGGCCCTACTTCATCTCCCTTCTCTCATTAACAAAACTTGCCTAAAACAAAACTCCATCCTTGAATCTTGATTCACCCTCTTCGATTCTCAGGCTCTCAGCTTGTCAAAAATGGCGGCCATCGCTCCATCCTCTTCCTCCTTGTCAAATCCCTCTCCTCTCCCTTCTTCAACAAATTCCCAAAACAACACTTCCAGATTTACCCGCCCCTTTTCCCCTATTCCCCAGAAGCCCACTCTCTACCGCCCCCTCCACATCTCCAATTCTCTCTCTCCCAAACCCAAACCCAAAGCCACGAGCACCGGCAGCATCACCACCACCCCTATTACCACCACTTCAGACCCACAAACTTTCATTTCCCGATATGCCCCTGATGAGCCAAGAAAGGGCGCGGATGTCCTCGTGGAGGCCCTTGAACGCCAAGGCGTCACCGACGTATTCGCCTACCCTGGAGGCGCATCTATGGAGATCCACCAGGCCCTCACGCGCTCCTCCACCATCCGCAACGTCCTCCCTCGCCACGAGCAAGGTGGCGTCTTCGCTGCCGAGGGCTACGCGCGCTCCTCCGGCCTCCCCGGTGTCTGTATTGCTACCTCGGGCCCTGGTGCCACTAACTTGGTCAGTGGCCTCGCCGACGCACTCCTCGACAGCGTCCCCGTGGTCGCTATCACTGGACAGGTCCCCCGCCGCATGATCGGCACCGACGCTTTTCAAGAGACACCCATCGTTGAGGTAACCCGATCCATCACCAAACACAATTACCTTGTTCTTGATGTAGAGGAAATTCCTAGAATTGTTCGTGAGGCGTTTTTCTTGGCCACCTCAGGCCGACCAGGCCCAGTTTTGATAGACATACCCAAAGATATACAGCAACAGCTTCTAGTTCCCAATTGGAACCAACCCATGAGTCTACCCGGCTACATGTCTAGGTTGCCCAAGTCCCCCTCTGAGTCCCATTTGGACCAGATTGTGAGGTTGGTATCTGAGTCGAAGAAGCCGGTTTTGTATGTTGGTGGAGGGTGTCTGAACTCGAGCGACCAGTTGAGGCGATTTGTGGAGCTTACCGGGATCCCCGTTGCGAGTACTTTGATGGGTCTCGGGGCGTACCCATGCTCCGACGAATTGTCCCTCCAAATGCTTGGGATGCATGGGACTGTGTGTGCTAATTATGCTGTGGATAAGTCTGACTTGTTGCTTGCTTTTGGGGTGAGGTTCGATGACCGTGTCACAGGGAAGCTCGAAGCATTTGCTAGCCGCGCTAAGATTGTTCACATTGATATTGATTCAGCAGAGATCGGAAAGAATAAGCAGCCTCATGTGTCAGTTTGTGCAGATGTGAAGTTGGCATTGGCAGGGATAAATCTAATATTGGAAGGCAAAGGAAGCAAGCTTAAACTAGATTTCTCAGCTTGGAGGGAGGAGCTGAAAGAGCAGAAGGTGAAGTTTCCATTGAGTTATAAGACTTTTGGGGAAGCCATTCCTCCTCAGTATGCGATTCAGGTCCTTGACGAATTAACGGATGGGAATGCAATTATAAGCACTGGAGTTGGGCAGCATCAAATGTGGGCAGCTCAATTTTACAAATACAGGAGGCCTCGCCAGTGGTTGACGTCAGGGGGATTAGGGGCTATGGGTTTTGGATTGCCTGCCGCTATCGGGGCTGCTGTTGCAAATCCAGATACAATTGTTGTTGACATCGATGGCGATGGGAGTTTCATGATGAATGTCCAAGAATTGGCAACTATCAGGGTAGAGAATCTTCCCGTTAAGATAATGCTGTTGAATAATCAGCATTTGGGTATGGTTGTTCAGTGGGAGGATCGCTTTTATAAGGCGAACAGGGCTCACACTTACTTAGGGAACCCATCAAACGAGTCTGAGATATTCCCGAATATGCCCCAAGTTTGCAGCAGCCTGTGGGATACCAGCTGCGCGTGTGACGAAGAAGGAGCATCTGAAGGAAGCAATTCAGAAAATGTTGGACACTCCTGGTCCATACTTGTTGGATGTAATAGTGCCCCATCAAGAGCATGTCTTACCTATGATTCCTAGCGGTGGTGCTTTCAAAGATGTGATAACGGAAGGTGATGGAAGATCGTCTTATTGATTTCCTGGCCACAGTCCTTCGTATCTACAATTTTGAGATGTGCTTGAAGTGTTTAGTTTATCTAATTGTGTAAGATAAGCTTACCGTTTCTATGCAAAAAAGTTATGTAGATACCATCTCATACTTCACTTATTTGTTTATGTATTAAATGTATATTGTATAAGAGATCAATCCCTAGCTTCCTGAAGAAAAGGCTAATAATTAAGATGGTATTCTTTGTTTAAAGTGAATTAGGTGATGTAGGTCGATTGCTCAAGGTTCCGTTTGTAATGCTTGTTTCACTACTCGCTAATTTGTTATCTGCTGGGATTAATTTGTTTATGGAATTTGTTGCTTCATTGACATTGTTGTTGGTACGGCTACCGTTAATCTGAACTTTTTCTTGGTTGCTTTCTAATGTTCACACTTCATTGATAGGGTTCGTCATCAGGTCGGGTTGGGCTGAAATGTTTGAGTTCTAGCTGGGTTTTACAGGCTTTTTAAATTTTTTGAATCGGGCCAAGGTTCCAAATGCATTACTTCTATGTCTATCCCAAATTAGGATTGATCTTATGAAAATTAAAGCAATTTTGCCATTAGAATTAATAAAGCCAAAATAAGCTTTCAAATTCTTTATTGAACCATTAAATTAGAATTATATTGCTTGTTTGTTACAAATTTTTAAACAACATTGAAAAAATTAACTTAATTTATAACATGCATGTGTAAACAAAATAAGAAGTTTATTAGTTTATCATACGCATTAAATTATTTTGATTAAGTATAAAATGGGGTTATGGAGTGCATCAATTAAATCTTAAAAAAAGGACATAGACGAGCAAGTCTTGGGCGGTCCTAGGTCAGGTCAGGTCGCGAGCTTCAAATTTTAAGCCCAAATCCTACCCAACCTTAGAGTGGGTAGGGCCGATCTATTCTAACCATTGGGCCAAGCCAGGCTTGTTGGGCTTCGGGCTACCTACTTTGACCCGTGGGCAAAAAAATTTCCTCTTTATAGGCCTCTTAATGGGTTTGTAAGTTTGGTTAGGTCTTATGGAGGTAGTTTAGGAATAGATGGGTATTTATTTATAGTAATTTTCTTAATTTCCTCATTGATATTGCCCCTAATTTAACCACCCGCATATACGGTATGTGTGAGGTTTTATACAAAAGGTCCCGATAATATTAGTAATGGAACCATTCATTATATATTGTATTTTATTTAGTAAGTTTCTATTTCAATATTCTTCAACAGTTATTTCATCGGATTGGGCTCTTCAACAGTTGTTTCATTAATTCTAAATGTTTGAGAAATCACGGGGCATTTCCCCTACCCTAGCTAGTTGGCCATGACAACAATTTGAACTTAAGAGGAAATAACAGTCTCGAATTAACAGCATCAGAAGGTGTAACCATAACAGTCTCAAATTAAAAGCATAGCAGTAAGTAGCATATCCATTCTCAACCAGCATCGATGGAGAGAGAATGAATCTTAACTGTCCTTAACAGGATCCCTAATTACAATCCAAACCATAGACTTATACATATAATTAAAAGAGTATCAAGGTCCATTTCCAAGTAGAAGATGATCAGGAGAGAGAGAGAGAGAGAGAGGAGAGAGAGAGAGAGAGAGAGAGAGAGAGGAGAAGATGAGAAGAGGAAAGATGAGGTTGACCTAAGTCCTAACCATGGTTGGTGCGTTAGTGGAGACGAACCCAAGGGAACCAAAATATCTCCCGAGGGTTACATGCAGATGCCTTTTGAGCTCCACATCCATCAATGGAGTGCTCAAAAGTATGATGATATTAATGTACTAGCTAGCTAGCTAAAAGCTAAAATGCCAAAAGAAAAAGAAAAAGACACAAATTCTATCCCTCCTAAAATTAGTGAAATGGCTAAAACTCCCATAGTTTAGCCACAATGAATTTACAAGAAATAAAAAGAGTTAGTGATTTGCTCCCCTCCTCCCCTTACCCTAAGGGAAGATGGTGGGTTGGTTGGTTGGTTAGACACATTATATCATGTGAAAGTTGACCAAAAAAACTTGGAAAAGCTTTATAAAGACTGACTGCTCCTAGCTAGTTCTAAAATCCTAAGACTAGATGTTAACAGCCAAAACAATTGGGGCATTCCATGCCCATGTTTTTTTTACTTCCTAAAACTGCGCCTCTTTTTCTTGAGGCGATTGGTTAGCTGAAGATGGAGGGATTAGCCATTTTAGGACTGACATCCCAAGTGAAGGGCTTGCTATTTGTGTTGAATTTACAATATTTGCAAACCATTTTATGTCTTTCTTTAGCCTTCCTGGGCCAAAAGTTACATGAGGTTGGTTTTTTCTTTTGTTGCTTCAGCCCCTCCAGGGCTAAGAAGTTATAAAATTTATAAAAAAAAAGGAAAAGAAAAACTTTTTTCCCAACTTAGCTATACCCAATAGCCCGAGTTGGTGATCAGTAGAAAGATGCTTTAGTTCTCTTCAAGGGAACCCAAAGTGTTTTCAAAAAGATGCAAGGGAAAATGAAAATGCATGAGTATGAGATGCACCCCAGCCAATTGTGGAGAATGATTTCATGTAGCCCCTATGGGAGGCTTTGTATGTGTGCAAGAGCTTAACTAGCCCAAATGCCATTTGCAAATGGGGCTAATTTGTGTGTTAGATGGCGAGAGAGAGGAAGAGATGGAGAAGTGAACCATGGTTAGGCCAAAGGTTTGCTGAAAATTCAGAAGCCATATGCAGCTGAAGAGGATGGAATCGAGTTTGAATAATTGGAGCCATGCACGCACTTTGGATTCAATGACTAGCGATGAGGAATTGGTGCAGGGAGGGCCATGGTTACGCCTGTGGCACAGCAAAGCACACTGTCAAAGATATTAGTACCCTCTTTCCACCAAACTTAAGTATTTCATTTGTAAATAAATAAATAAAAATATATAATATTAACAGTGATTAAGTGGGCAGGCCTAGCTAGGTTAATTACAAATTACCTGGCGATTGCAAGGCGGGTGAGGGCGCAAGAGAAATGGGAGGACCATAGTGCTGGTAGCCTCCTCCAACACCAGTTGAATTCAAGGCCGAATACTGGAACAGGTGGTGGTGGTGGTGGTGTGGATATTGGACACCAGTTGCGTAGTTCTGCACACCTGAAGTAGTACTATAAGCTGCTGCAGCTCCTCCATTCCCTTCTGATCCGTATTGCAGATACGGGTAAAACGCAGCTGCAGCCGCGGCGGCTCCCGTCACCATTCCGCCTGCAGGGCTTGTCCCGTACATAGGATACTGCCCGGTTGCCCCTCCATACAAACCATAGTAGTTCTGAACCATACATATACCAACAGTATTGCACAACACAATTAATAACCAACTCGAAATAAACTACGTACGTACCTTAAAGTAAATTAAAGTCAATTATATCCATGCTTCTTTTTTAAATCTAACCGGCCGTTTGGAATTTATGGACTTTACCCCCCAAACAACAACATAGAAGAAACTCGATACAAAAATCCGTGCTCACCCCACCATAATTCCTCTTCTTCCATACACTTTCATCATACCTAGTTTTTTTTTTGTTTTTTTTTTTTTTTTTTTTTTTTTTTTTTTTTTTTTTTTTTTTTTTTTTTTTTGTTGTTCTTTTTGTGTGAGAGAGAGAGAGAGAGAGTGTAGCGAAGATCGTAGAGTGAAAGCGTAAATAGGATGGGAGGTTGGACCACATGTCCTTGTAATATAATGAATCAAGGATTGAAAAGAAGGAGTTTGATTGACGAAATTAAATTATTTCTCACAACCTGACCCTCTTGGCATATGCTGTCGGTTGGTCCACTATTTTCATGCCCCCTTTACCCTTATCTAATATGGACAATGTGGAAGAGTAAATATACAGCTACGATAATTTCGATAATTTATATATATAAAATAAAAACCAATCCGAAAGCTCATCATTACCCATTGCTAAAGTACACTACCACGTGCCACTATGTACTACTGATCTGCGAAAAACCACTTTCATTGTAAACAAATCCAACTTTAATTATGTGAAATTCTATTTAATAATGAATAATGAAGAAGTTAAACTCTCATCTATAATCTATAATCTTTTGGTTAAAAAATTAGATTATCGGTACGGTCCCATTTAATTAACGGGGTCGACATGCAATATGCAATTACATCAAGCGAAAAAAATTCCTCGACAAAAAATGACATGAATTTGAAAGCTGCGTTCTTTTTTTCTTTTCTTTTTTAAACTATGGAAAAGGTAATTTTGTTAAGTTTAGTTTAGTGGGTCGGTAATAAGCTCCCAAAATAGTTTCTTTGGACAAAAGGAAAACCAAGTGGTAAAAATATGTCGAGAAATTTGAAAAGTGATTGCCTCCTGAAAAGGAAAAAGTAGCAAGGCTTCCAGAAGCAGGAGCATCCTAAGAAGCGAAACTGTATAGTAGAAAAGAAAGTAAAAGTAATAAAAAGGAGAAGTGTCTACAAACCGTAGGGTAAGTGTAGTCTGGTGAGTATGGAGAGTACCTGAAACGGAATAGCGTTCAAAGAAATCGAAAAGTTACAAGTTAGAAGCTGAACTAAAGCTTTGGAAATAATTAACTCTCAAGATCCAAAACGAATATTCTTTTTCAAATTAATTTAAAAAGCATCGAACATGAAAATAATGTATGCATGCATGACTCATGATAAAACAGTTCCTGTCATGCATGATATAGCGCATGCATGCATGCATGCCTAAGGTTGCAAAAGTAGGAGACATGCAATGCGATGCAAGGATGAGTTAATCTGCCTGTAATATGAACAAATGCAAAAGAAGAGAGAGAGAGAGAGAGAGAGAGAGAGAGAGAGAGAGACGAGCGTGCTTTTGATTAATGAGGTCGGGTGGTGGAAGTGCATGAGTTGGCAATGCACGTGCAGCTTCCCATACATACACATGATGCATATTGTTGTAGAAATGAAAGCATGTTCATGAATGAATTCATCCTATATAGTTAATTATAATAGTTGATGATGATGGTATACATACCCATAAAGATTGTAAGGTATCCCTTGTTGGATGGCATAATGAGGGAAGGTTGCTGCTGCAGAAGGAAAAGCTGATCCGACTCCACCTCCGAACCCTGTTTGGAAAGACCCCATTACCCTAAAGTTCCTGCCTGCTCCTCCACCACCTATCCATATATATACCCAATTTATTAATTATTTCCAACTGCAAATTTAATTCATGATTATATCTATCATCACTCTACAAATTATAACATAAACATACAGAGTTAATTGCATGCATGCCACTCCACTGAAGATATATATATATATATATATATGTATGTATGTATGAGGAGGATATGCTTCAAAGAAGAGGAAACATGTGGTTCCAAAACTATAACTATATGTGATGCTTTGGAATGGTAGCTGGGTAATTTTGTTGCTAATTAACTTAGTAAAAAGGATATATGGGACTTGTTCGATATTTAACCATTTCTAATTAACAACTTAATCCTTTATTTAGGAATATTCATGTTGCATGTATTTCACTGTGAAAGTGAGTTTACTCCAAACCAGAATATTTTCGGCTCTTTTTAATACACAAATTATAATTCTTGCGAGGAATATCCACAACTCAAACACGCAACACTAATTCTTGCTAAAACTTTTGTCAGATCTGTTATATTTGATCACTAATTATAATCTATATTTGGAGAAGACCAGTATGATAATGCATATACCTAATTCAGAAAAGATATGAAAATAAAAGAAAATTGAGGAATGAAAGCGGGTATACCATGCTTTGGAGTTGAAGGCTTGGATCTCTGAACTCCCAGAGAAGCAAGATTGCAGTTGGCCCTCCTCCCATCAATCACAGGAGCAGCATCCACACAAGCTCTCATGGCAGCTTCGGATTCGCGAAAAGTTACCTGTAGAATTATACAAGTTCACTATCACAAAATTCAAATGAAGAATCAAGTATACTGATTTTATGATCGATTTCAATCCTTGTTTTGTGTCAAGATCTAGCTAGCATTAGTACATATTTATATGTGTAGATATAAGAGATGAAAAATGCATGTGATAAAAGAAAAATAAGAAGAAATCATACAAATCCGTAGCCTTTTGATCTGCCTGTGGCCTTGTCAGTGATGACAACAGCCTCCAAGATCTCACCGAACTGTTCAAAGTATTTCTTCATGGTTTCCTTCTGGGTTTCCCAAGCCAATCCTCCAACAAACACCTTGGTGTATGTGGTATCACCAAACTGCCCTGCCAAATTAGCTGGAGTCATCTTAATCTTCAAGGACAAATATGGGATCGACCTCTAGCTAGCAGCTCCTTGTACAATATATCTTGCTGTCTCTGGATCTCTCAGTCAGCAACAAAACTTTCCCTATGTATATCTTGCTGTTGTTGTTGTTGATGTTAACTAATTATGAGCCCTATCTACCACTGTGGCACAAAGATAGCTAATAATAGATGGATCTACTTGGTGGTGGTGGTGGTGGTGGTGGTGGAACAAGAAGAAGAAAAGAAGAAAGAAAGAACAAGTCCCACTAGATTTAGAGGGATCTTCTACAGGATTTAGATGGTGAGGAATTTGGTGGTGTGGGAGGAGGGTGTTGATCAGAGAGACAATTAGGTCAGAGAGAGAGAGAGAGAGAGAGATCAAAAAAAGAGGGGAGAGAGAGTGAAGGGAGAAGGGAGGAAGAGAAAGCAAAAGTTGGAAAAAGAGGAAAGCCCCTCTCATAATACGGACATGAATTATATACACAACCAGCCCCCACCTCTTAACATTATTGTACATCAACTATTCACGCACTACATCTAGCGCGTCTTCATCACACTCGTATGTTTTCCATTTTTATATGAATCATCATGCTATATGTAATTATCTTCTATTCCCCATACCGGTGCATAATCCCAACACGCGTAATGATGAGAGTGGGAATGGCTTCTGTTCGTATTATTATGTCCCTGGTCGCTGTCGTTTTGATTATTTTTAAGGGGAAGATGTCGAGTGACTAATTTGCCCCTTGTTTGCATCAAAATGACGAAACTTGCCCCCAAGCAAGTGCGTTTGTTTTGTCAACTTTTTGGTGGAGTGAGGTGAGGCGTGAGACACACTGACTCACTGAGCAGCAGTGGCAGAAACGGAACGGAAAAAGTTTTGGGAGGGAATGAAATCAGAAAAACAGCAATCACGCGGGAAGTCAAAGGTCAGCCTCGTCCAATTGGCAACTGCAGCAGCAGCTGCTTACTGTCTACAATCTACGTGGTGGGATTTTTTTTTCTTTTTTTCCTTTAAATCTCCACAATCAATCATTTAAAAAATAAAATTGGACTTAACTTTCTGGTGCGTGACATAATAGTGACATGCCATATGCCACTTATCTGGGTTTGGCCAGGCTAGGCGGCTAGGTCATAGACTCATAGCTCTTCAAGCAAGGATTTATCTTCACAAATTTCTCATTATGCTCTTCTAACTTAAATGTCGATATTATTATCAAAACAAAAGAATTTTAAGTCAACATTGAGCAACCAGCTCTTTTTTTTTCTTTTTTTTAAACAGTAAGATTAATCGATAAACATGACAAATACTCAAGACACAAATAGAAAGAACACAATCCTAAGGAGATTCTTACAATACATAAAATTTAGAAAATATGAAGAAAAAAAAAGAGGCACAAACATTGCAAGATAATGACTTCAAAATAACAACTTAAACCCTATCTCACTTGGAGTACATATAAGGAGGACCCATAAATTCTGCAACAACTAGTGCTTCAAGAAGACCAAGTAGAGAACAATCACTCAAACAACTTGGGATATGAAACACCTCGAAGTGGAGGGCATTACCACTCAGCTTCCACCAAGACATTCCAAAGAACATCACAACATCTTCAAAAATCTCCACTTCATTCCAAAAAAAAACTGTTGATAGTAGATACAATCGAATCTAGAAGCTCCACCTACAAAACAGAGAGATTTGAAAGAGGTCTACCACAAAAGCCCAAAAACTGCAAAGACACACACAACAGAGGTCTAAAGTAGCGTATATACTTAGATCTACCAAAATCCAGCCTCAAAAGGCTAATAAACAACTCCTAGAAAACTAGGATGAGATTAAACCCTTTCAAAGCAAGGAATCTACAAAACCCAACATAAAGCTGGTTGCTCTTCACAACATAACCGAGGGGAGTTGGGGAGAGAAGCTCGGTTTATTAGCCGAATGGGTGGTTCCAAGGCGTTTTCAGATATGTTGTGGGTTTTGGGTTGGGGAAAAGGAAGAGTCTAGTGAGCAAAAGTTAAAAGATATTGTTTTAGGTTATTGAGCAACCAACTTACATGACTGGACTGCGGGTTTTTGACATCTTTTGTAACATAAACTTGAAGTTCTTCTTTATATCCTAGAGATGAGAAATCTTTCAACCAAAACAAATCTATTTAAGCGATTTTGAAGTGATCAACCACTGTTTTGTTTCCACTTCATGCCTCTTTGGGTGTCATGTCCTGAACTGCAAGTGTAGGGCTTTTATTCAACATGTGGTGCTCCAATTTACTGTTTTCGGCCAGAAACTCTTTGGAACTTTTCCTCTTTTGCTAGCATGCTCATCACCATGTTAAGGATTGTTCAATTCTTTCTCTCGGACACACCATTTTGTTGTGGTGTGTAGGATGTGGTAAGTTCTCTCTAAATATAATGTAAGGCGTAAAAACCTTCAAAAGCTTGTGAAGTGTGTTCTCCACCACGATCCATTCGAAGATCTTTAATTGTGCTCCCAATTTCATTCTTAACAAGGGCCTTAAAACTTTTGAATGCATTTAGAGCTTTTTATTTTTCCTACAAGAAATACACATAAATTATCCTCCTAAAATCATCAATAACATAAATAAAGTATCGCTTTTTCCATTTGATATTAGATTGGTATTTCCAAAAATAAAAATAAAAATAAAAAACACATCAACAACACATTAGGCCAATTCCAGTGTTGCCTTTGTTCCAACCAAAACCTTCTCCTCATCTGAAACTACCAAGAGAAAGGCAACAACTATCCCAACAACCAAGATGAATTCCCAGAGTAGCCTCTCTCTGCTACGCGACCTCATAAACCTTAGCCACATCTATCCTCTTTAACAACTCATGAATTATCATCTTTGATCGTGCACAAATGTCGGGATTAAACCAGTCAAAAAACCCCACACCCATTTGCCTTCACATGAATGTAATGCATTAACTACTAAGTGTAATTCAAAAATCCAAACAATTTGAAATTTGAAAGACAAAAACATACAAACCGAACTAATGTGTTTTTGGTTCTGGTTCGGTTCGATTTTCATAGAAAGTGTCTAGATGAACCAAACCAAACTAGAACTATGCAATTTTGGTTCCAGTTCAGCCAGTTTTTGGTTTGGAAAGATAAAATATATGAAGATGCGAAGAAGAAAGAAATAGGAAGAAAGGAAAAATAGGTAGTTGAGATAAAAGAAGAGAGAAAGATGTGAAGAGATAAAGAGGAGGAGAAATAAAAAGAAAGGTGGAAAATAGATAAAGATGGAAGCGCAACATGAGCGTCTATGGTTCACCGAAAAGAAAAATAAGTTGGTCTACAATTATTTACTTGGGTATAAATTGAAACTAAGATATTTGGGTATTAATTGTGCTAAAATATTTAGATATTACTTGGATTTACTAATGTGATTTGAAAGTTAATTAGGCTTACTAATTATTTTGGATATTAACAAATAAGTAAACTGAACATAGCCAGTCTGGTTTAGTTTTGACAGGTTTTTCAAGACAAGAATTGTGGCCGAACACAAGAGTCGAGTGGCCATGCTCAAGTTAGGAGGTCTCAAATACTGAGTTTTAGTAACTGAAGTGGAATATATACATGTTGATGAAAAATTGGTGAATGAGAATGGATGACCAAAAAAAAAACATTTTCAAGTTTTTAAAACAAAATAAGGTTAATAGTTTTTATTTTTCCAAAAACAGAAAATGAAAACTATTACCAAACATATTTTTAATTTTGTTTAATTTTCAAAAACAATAAAAATAAAATAATTATCAAACGAGCTTTAAATTAATTTCAGAAATTGTATTGGCACGGCAACGGCCTTCTTGTGGTTTAGCGGCTGATAACATGTCTAGCGTTGGAAATTATAGTTTTGTAAGTCCAACAAGGCCCGTGGTTGTGCTAAGATGGGTTGGGATTTAGAAGAGAAGGGCATGGCATTTAAGCAATAAGATATGGGAGGAAGGGCAGTTAGGAAAGAGCAAAAAGCTAAGCAAGCTTTAAACAAAAACCAAAACCTTTGCTGATGATGATGCTGGTACTTGGAGAATATGGGCCACCAGAAATCCCTTGAGAATTACGATTATGTTATGTATGATATGAAATGAAGAGCATTCTTAGTACCATCATCATATTCATATTCATATTCATATGTATGTACATATAGAGTGCTCTGTCGTATTGATTATATTATTGTCCTTGTTTCGTTACATATCAACCATCGGATGGAGGGGAAGAGGAAGGTATGCATAATGGACGAGTGCGATGAGATGATGGAAGAGGTAGAGGTAGAGGGTAAGGAATAAGGAAGCAAAACTTAATAGGGAAAAGGTATGGTAGCAGGTTATTATCTGGCAACTGGGGCAGCTGTCTTCCAATTACTTTGACCAAAGAAAGTGACAACCCATTCAATTCCTTCCTTCCTTCCTTCCTTCCCATATGACCAATATGGCCATATCCAACTCATATCCACTGTCACACACGCACACAGACAGACACATAGACACAATTAGTGTTTTTTTTTCTTTCTTTTTTCATATTAAGTGTTTCACTCTGCGTAAAGTGGTGAGAGAGAGAGAGAGAGAGAGAGAGAGAGAGAGAGAGAGAGGAGGCAGTGACACAGAAGCATTGTTACCAACTGATAACACAAATACACATGCCTGTCTCGTGCAGGGCTGCTTTATCTTTTCTTTTATCCCACCACCCCACACCCCTTCCAGCTCACTAAACACTTGTGTGGGGCCCCACTTCCCTTCCTTCCTTCCTGTACCTTGCCACCCTCCCATGCCCTATGCCCCTAGCTTTGTTGGCTTCATTCCTTCATTCATCCTGTTACTGTACAAACTCTTCATCGAAATTCAAGAGTGAGTTAGGTTTCATCCATTTAAGTCCAAAGGTAACATAAAGAAGCACACATGTTTGGTTTCAATACTTAATTGAAATTCTACTCAATTCAAGAACAATTAGTGCCCTCACCCGATAATAAATTCATTGCTCAACTTTTCTGTTCGAGTTTTCATCCCACTTGAATAAGAGGGTTGTTGTTACATCACAGCTGCATTTTTTGAGTTGAATAAACAAAAAATAATGTTATTCTTATCACATTCTCATATTACCTTATATAGCAGATAAAATAGACATCCATATCAATTAAAATTAATTTAATATTTTCTTTTCTTTTGTAATTTATTAATGCATTTTAATTGATGTGGCAAGAGTAGCATAAGGTAGTATGAGAATGTGGTAAGAGTAGCATTACTCATACACAAATTACACCACCACCACACCACACCACAACTGGTTTGGGCCTAGCCACAAATGTCAATAAATTCTTAGTCAGGAACACTGATTTGCAGGCCCATCAGACAAGAGAGCATGTCTCCCTCGTCCCTTCCTTCCCATTTGACTACCTCTCTTGAAGTTGCGCAAGGCCTTCCATGGCAAGGCAATCAAATTAAGCAGTTGTTAGGAATCAGACTCCAACGTAGAGAAGAAAATAATACCATATCTTCAGTTCAACCATGCTAGCTTCGCGTAACTTTTGTACAGTGCAACCAACAGCTCCGCTCCGCCTATAATTAGATTTAGTTGCAGTAAGGGGCATGTGGTGGTTCCCACGCAGTCCTTTCAGATAGCTTTGCCACCCTAAGACCATGGTCTGGCTGCAGCTTCCAGGATACAACCTTTTCTTTTTCAACAAGTAAATCCTCCATGAGTAATAGAAAAGTGAACAGAAGACTATGCTAAATATAACTTGAGATAAAATATCAAATAAAAACCAAAATTCAACATTTTCACCTCCTAACTTACTTACAGGAACTAATGCTTGAATGTCAGTCACAACCCGAAATGCGTACCTAAGAAGGTGTCACTTCAACTTATCTTGCTTAAACTCATGCCAATTACTTTTTCTTTTCAACAACATAAGCATATTCTTCAAAGTAAAAACCTCAAACCTCAAACCTTTAGCTTTTCATTTTCTCTAACAAAAAGTCTACTTAGTTCACTTAGATGTCTTGGTTCTCTTAATTATCCTAGCCATATGAGAAGAGAGCCAAGACATCTAAGAGAACTAAATGGAGCCACCTAAATCCGTATGATCAACTCACCTTCAGTAGAGTTTTAGTCAGAGACATAAGAAGGTTGAATAAAGAAACAGAAACAGAAAGCTAAGCATCCCAGATATTGATTTTTTAAGTGTCATGTTTACATTGTTTGGGGAGTCCAAATAAGATGAGTATAAGTCACTCCTTACTTTCTCGTTTAGAGTATGACAGGGTTGCATCCGTTTCAAAATCTACCAATACAAAAACAAAAATGACACCAAAATGTGCAAAGAAGCCTGTACTTCACAGCACAAGCACTATGTGCAACTACGACAAATCTTCGTGATAAAGATGAAGCCCAAGTCCAAAACGTGCACAAGCGCGACGAAATGCCATTGCTTCTGCCTTCTGTACAGGATCCCCAAAACTTGTGTCATCTACTGAAGCAGTGCCGGTCGACTCCCTAAAGATCTGGCAGAAACAAGTAGCATATAGTTGGGAAAACAAGTCAGATACGTGCCAAACCTTACAATCTTTTTTCTCTTCTTTTTTGTTTTTCAACATTTCTGAAGCTCATTTAAAGGAGCTTCCACAAATTTCTTAATTTATGAAACCTGTGGAAGTGCCTGGGGTCCTGACTTCAACTAGTAGAACATACATCCCAGTTTTTTTATTGAATATATCTTAGCACATAAAGAAGACGGATATATGCAACTATCCTATCCAACACATAGATCACACAGGAGAGAAGATTAAAAATAAAATAAAATTAAGGAAATTAAGAAGCAGTTGTATAAGTTTTCTGATGAACACCAAGATCACAGAATATACTACCAAGCCAATGAGGTCTTCCCATTTTAGGACAACTGAATTCTAAATTCACTTAAAAGAAAAGATAGTTCATGGCATCCCATTCATTCATTTTTAGATAGAAGATACATATGCAAAGTACATGTTATGGAATATTCTAGATTGCTTATAAGACAATTGTGAATTTATAATTTCCAACACTATGAAAATTAGAAGGTTAGAGGAAAATAAATGGAAATATGAATATTGTTGTACCTCAGCATCAGTGCCATAGAGCGTGACACGATAAACAACAGATACAGACTTGGCATCAGCGGAGTAAGTGATGCTGCGGACCTCACCGGACCATTCTACAAATAAAACATGTGCAATAAAAAAATAAAAGAAAAAGAAAAATTGGAAGTCATTTGGGAATATGAAGCCTGGTGTGGGGGTGGTGGTGCCTACCTGGAGCATGCAAGTTCATAATCCGATTAACAATGTGCCTGAAATGAAAAATATCAGGCCAGATTCAGACTCGTTTTGTTTTCTGTCACAAGGATTTTGAAATTAAAACAAGATTATAAGATATTATAGTAAGTAATACCAGGGGATGTATTTGGAGGTAAAGCCACTTTCAGAGCGGGTTTTGACGAGGGAATCAGGGACTTTCTTGTTGAGTTGCTTGAGGATTTCAGAGAGGGGTCTGCTGATTCCCGAGCTCACTGCCAAGCCGTCGTCTCCTCCCTCTTCTTCTGCTTGTTTCTCCATCCGCCCTTCTGCATTAGAAGAAGAGGCCAACTTGGCGTAGGAACGCCGCCACGGTGAGCCTTCACCCACAGCTACACACAGCGATCTCAACATAGAGGATTTAGAAGCGACTGATTGCGCCATTCCTTTCTCCCCAAAGGAAGCACAAAACCCAAAAGCAAACAACAGCAGCGAAACCCTCTCGGCCCTGTCGCTCTCTTTCTTTTTTAACTTAACGGCACAGTGTCACTTGACTTGCCAAATATTTGACAACAAATTAATACTATTATCCTAAATTTTGGGGTCGTCTTTCACTTCAATCCCTAAAACCTCCTAAGGACAGATTTTTTTTCTTTTAGAATTTAGAAAAAATTGAATTATTATTATTTTTCGTTCACACATAATATGAAAAATGTAAGTGTCACAATATCAATTTAATGGAAGATTAAATGGTCAAATTGATAGACGACTTAAATTGAGGGTTCATTTAGGAGTGATTCTAGAGAGGCAAATAATCACTTTTATGGAGAATCACATGGAATATGCTTTTTTCTAGAATCACTTAAAATCACTAAAAGTAATTTTCTAGATAATCACGTGGGAGGTGCTTCTTCCTAGAAGTGATTTTGGCCTATTCAGAATCATTCCCAAACGATCTCACAACCTCACAGTAAACTCACCTAAAACCCAAAGGTGTAAAACATAATTAGATCTTCATCTAATTTACCGGTGAAATGAACTTGAAAATTTTATTTAAAAGAAATGGGAACTTAGTGATTGAATTTTGGGTTCAATTCAAACAAATCATACTTATAAGACAGCAATAACGATGCTCAAGTGGCATCTGACTCTTATCTTAGATTGGAAAACATCAAATCTAAACAAAGGGTTTAGAAATAAAAACGAAAAGTATGGTGATCAGATGAGAGCCATTTGTTGGACGTTGATTGGATAGCAATCAGAGGGTGGGCCGTTAAAGGCCCGCCAAGCAAGGACGGCATTTGCAGCTTCAGTTGGGTGGTAGGCATCCCAAAAAATGTACTGATTTCTATTTGCGCATGGAACCGAATATGGAAGACATGTTATCTGCCCTCTGTTCCTCCCAATTCCACAGCACCCTCTATCAATCACACTGAACCCTGCCATGCCAAATTGCCAATGCCATGTATTATGTACTTTTAAATGCATCCTTGGTGTCACTAAACGAAAATTATAAATAGTTGTTGTTACCATAAAGGGCAGGATTGTTAAGCATGTCACCAAAGGCAGCATAAGTATTGGCGTAGACAAAGATGGCTCCCGGATGGTTGGTGTTGAGTTGGTTGGCCAGTGATCTAAGCCCTTCATTGAAGCTACCAAGGATCTGATTCACATAATCCACACACCTTCCGGGCTGGGCCAAGGCTCTTTGGTTAGGGATGCACCCCAATGGCCCAATTCCTGCTAGCACAAACTTTCTTAATCCTACGTTGTGTAATGCCTACAACGTAACAATAATAATTTCAAATCTAATGAACGACAGATGTTGAAAACAAAAAAAAGATTTGAATAACTAAACAAGGAGTCTAGATCTAGTACCAGAATCTGTTGAGTATAGCGATTAAGGAGAAGGTTGGCAAAGGCAGGAGGAGTGTAGATGTAGCTGGAAGAATAGAGGGAAGGCAAGAGGTAGTTGTTGATGTAGTCATTGCTTCCAAACTCCAAAACTGCTATGGACTTAGCCAAGTACTTGGTCATGTTGGCTCCACTCATCATCGGTCTCAACTGATCCAAGGTGCTCTCAAAATTCAACACTTGCTGGCTAAGGCTATACCGCTGTCCCTGTGAATTCATTCATGTGTGTGGATCATATATATGTCACACTTGTATATATTGCCAGATAAATGTTTGTATTGTCGGACTACAAATTTAAATCGTGTATATTTTTAACAAAATGAACTGAATCAATGGTCTATTTGTGAAATATGTGTAGATATATGTGTAAACATGTGACAAGTGAGGATTTAAGTTCGTACAAAGTGTTGGCCTGTCTCATCAAGTATGCCAGCAGCAGCGGAAGCATAATTTACTCCCCCAAGTATTTTGGTTCCTTTTGTATTAGGATCTGCAAAGGGTGGAACATATGGAAGACCCAGCAAATTTCCTGCAAATTGATTAATTACCCATGAGAGAATGAATTAATATTAATTATACATGTGTGTAGGGTGTAGGGTGTAGGTGTAGCCTGCAGGTACCAACCAAGCATATCGACCACAGTTCTTCCATTAGAGAATCTGCCAGTAGGGCCTGCCCTGAAATCGCAGCCATACGGATAATAATTGGATTTTGCAAAGGAGCTAAGGTAGTTGTTGTTGCCAACATCAATCAATGAGTCCCCAAAAATAAACATTGCTGGAACCTGCGCTGCTGCTGACACTGACCCAATACTTGTTGAGCACTGCACCACTAAAATCATCATGATCGGCACCACCCCCACCCCACTACTGCCCAACCACACCCCTTCCCCTTCATCACAAATCCTCTTCTTACCGCCCATATTATTCCTCCTCACTTCAACAACACAGATTAAGGTGGGAAATGATAGAGAGGTGACTTGATTATATATAACCATTCCATTTTGACGAAACGGCTAAATATGACATGTAACGCAAGCATTTCCAAATTTGCAAAGCCATAAAACGTTGCTTTTGGATGCCTTTTGGGGTTGTCTTTTTGTCGTCCGTTTTGCCTTTTATCTTCTTTCTGGGATCTGGTTCCTCTTATCTCTCTTGCTTCTTTGCATTTGTTATCAAGTGAGGTCATATCACAGACAGAGACACTCACATGTTTTTATCCCTTGTTACGTGAGATTCATGTGTTGTAAGTTGTAACTCGTACCCATCGCCCAGCAAATGTGAAATCGGTATCTTAGATTAACCAACTTTGGAACTGTCAAATTATTTACATATATAATTCAAAAGGTATAGCTAGGTTTAATCTGCGTTTTCCTTTTGGTGCTCACTATTTTATTTATTTACCTTTTTATTTTATTTTTACAAAGGCAATTAGAACTTGAAGCTCTTTTCTAATATTTGGAGAAATATCACTAAATTAAATGCTAGTTATGCATACGAATTCCTTGAAATTGAACCTAAAAACAGAACGATTTCAATCATTGCTTTATAACCTAACAAGATAGAACACACTGCTCTAATCAATTGCCCTAACCTCTTCCTACCCCAAAACTTACATAATGATGACACAAAAAGAAAAGAAAAATACAGAAGGTTCTGTCTCTTCAATTTGTTACTGGAGAACCTCAATTGCTCATCCTTTTTCCCTTGCCGTTTCCGAATTAGAAGATGGAAGTAAAGCAGGGAACTTTTGTTGTCTCCCACTCACAAGCATTTCTTATGCCGACACAAACCAAACAATGTTGATGGCTGGTTGTCCAAAAGAATGCCATGTGGCGTATCCTAATCGATCCAAGGGGACCCCTTATGTGTTACTAAACAATAATCACTAGCAAGTAGCAAGAGGGTTACTAGTCTATAGTTATATAGTTAATTAAAGCACATCAACAATGGGAGGAAAATGCAATGATACTTACTCTCTATGCTTCTGACAAAAAGTCTAAAGGCCTATATCATTCGCCTTTCTTTAGTTCTGCTTACAAAAGTCTAAGAACAATGCAATTAAGAAAAGGTATGGAAGATGAAAGCCCTTGGGGTTGGGTGATCAACCACCTACTTATACTATAGCTAGTTCCTTTTGACCCCACTAACTCTTATTTCTACTTCTTTTGACCCCTATCCTTGACGGTCAAGGAAATTAATTTCTAAAAAGAATTAGATTAGTATGTATAAAAGTAGTTTTAGAGAGCGTGTTTATTTGAGGTTTACAGAGAGGAAGGCTAATGGGGTTGCAACCCGCCTGGCACACTATGCTCTACACTCCCAGGAAGCAGCAGAATGGGTTACTGATCCCCCAGTTTTCCTCCAGGATGTTCTGTTTTCTGATGTTATGTAATTTTCCTTGTTCTGTATGTTATTGGCATAGGTGGTACTCTTTCCTACCCCGGGGTTTTTCCCTTGTGGTTTTCTCCGGGAAGGTTTTAACGAGGCCACACTTTACATGCCTATTATTCCTCCCTTCTAATGGAATGAAATCAACCTTTTCAGAAAAGTAGTTTTAGAGAGATTTGGTGACTTGGTCGGTTGTCTAAAATATTTGACAATGACTATATAATTAGTTTGTATATTTTCTTTTTCTTTTCAACTAATTAATTATGTGTGCATATATACATAGCATATTGATTGAAGTGGAGTTTTGAAATTCAAGACTACGAATGTCAAATGCGCCATTCAAAATTCAAGAGAGATGACATGAGGTAACAAATGGGTAATCATGAATTCGTTTGGCTCCAAGCAATATGTCAACCGAGCACTTACTTGTAAATGGTGAGGCTTTAATGTTCTCTTGCACTCGATTAATTATCATTAATATGATACTTCTTCCACAAGTTTAAAAAAGGGGAGATTATTTACAAAGTAAGATTAGATTAATGCTTATCACTAGAACAATTGTAGATGGTAAAATTCTCTCGCCAACATGTTAAATTGAAGGAAAAAGTACAATCTATCCACCCATTACACAAAGTAAAGCTCATGTACATTCCTTGTTGGATCCCAAATATAAACCCTAACCAAAGAGAATATGTCCTGAGAAGAAAAAAAAAAAAAAAATTCAATATCCCTTTAAAGTTGGTCACGTGATGACACTTGACCAATTTTGCTACAAATTTTGTCGAAATACAATATCATTGACCAAATTAATGCGTAGGCTAAAAGATGAATGACTATATTGATCGACTTGAGAGGATTAAAATAAGGACTTTTAAAAAATTTAGGGACCACTTGTGATAAATACTCTTAAATAGGAGAAAGACTTCCATAAAATGGGGATTTCACTATTTTGTTATTCCGGCCAATAACGACATGACACGCGTGATAATACTTCCATGTATGATAGCGTTATTGGTCAAAGGTAGCAAAATAGTGTTATCCCCGTTACAATTTTTCTCCTTAAATAGATTAGCTGGTATTTAATACGTATGCATTTGATTTGTCACTAGTAAAGTTCAATCTCAAGGCTGTCAACTAAGG